AAAAAAAAAAAAAAAAAAAAAAAAAAAAAAAAAATCAACGTATAGCCCTCAGGCTGGACAATAAACAGACTAAGCGGCTTCTAGGGACATGAAAGGCTCATGGGACAAGTGTAGCGCATACGTATCATGCTGCTATTGTCATGGAAGTGCGGGATGCTCAAAAGCGACAAAGATACGAAGGTACTAAGCGTGCGCTGTATGAACCATTCTATCATCAACAAACGCAGTTACTGTCTTCCACCCTATGGTACTCCCGCACATGATGTGTTGACCTATCATTCCGTCTCTGGACAAAGTCTAGCCGTTAATTTTGAAGCCCTGGCAGTCTCTGCCTCTCAAAAAGACCCCAAGTAGCAGAAAGATGAATCCCGAAACATCATAAAACAAACCAAAACATTCTACACAAAAATCAGCGACGACACAGAACACATCGGCCTAATGCCTGCCAACTGGACCCTGGCCACCCTAGCCTGAGACCTATCCCCAATACTAGTTCCTAGTCTAAACTGTACACCCTCCGCATCCATTTTGAGCGTGGGCGTTGTGGACAAGATTATCCAGCCGCGTCGATTCGCTTTCGAGCTAGATGATCCGTGGGTCACTGGCGAAGAATTGGAGACTGGTCTTGGATTTTTTTTTCTTCTTGGGACATTTGAGGGAAAACTATCTTTCAGTATAGCGTATAATGATGCCTGGCATAATTTTGAGGAGGCCACAGGGTATTTAAATAGATGCCAGGAGATTATACTGGAGTGTGCGGGGATGCGATATAAATGCTTGTGGATATACAATTTTGAAGTTATAGGACAAAAGCTGCCATGTCACCATTCCTATAAGTAAAGCCAGGGCGTCGCATGTTTATCGGCAAAATTGTTCCAAGTCTACTACGTTACTTATCGTCAAGCTATTTACAGAGTACAGCAATAGCAACAGGTGTTGAGATTAGAGAAGACTATCAAAAGTAACGTCTGACATTAATCAATGTTCGCACAAGCTAAAATTGCCGTTTTCAAAATCGCTGTTGTGCTCAGCAGTTGCAGCCTTCCTCTCCTCCATGAGATCCAACCTATAGTTCTTTGCCTCATCCATGGTAATAGGAGTAACATTTGTTTCCCCATGAATCATGTTTCGTAATTCAGGTGGGAGCACCATCAGAGACTCTTCAAGCGCGATCCTTCTCTCAATCCACCAATCCTCCCTCTGTGGAGGAACGTGCGCCGAAGAGATGATGCGGAGATTCGGATCAACTAAGAAGAAGGCGAGGATTTTGCGGTGTCCGGGTTTCGATTTGTCTGCCAGTGAGAAAGGAGACACGCGGTGTTGGAGGATATTGGGGAATGTCAGCAGACGGCCTTCGTGGGTCGACACACTACCTAGATCTTGTGTGATGACTGCGTCGTTACGACCATCAACATCCGGAGGAAAGCCATAAATTTCATTCAAAAACCCGTGTTGGTCTTGAGGATAGGAGACATCGTACATATCTTCGCGGGCGCGCTGCCGGAAGGAGAGAGTGTTGTCCGTGATATTCTCGCTGTCGTAGTAGTATAGGGCGGTTGCGCAAATATGCTCGTTCTACAAATGTCAGTTTATGACTCTTCAGACCAGAATAGAATGGTTACTTACCAGCTGCCCTTCTACGTGCCATGATCCCCCTTCGTACTCGGGCTTTTCTGGGTTCAATTCGATGTTGGCCAGTTTGACGATAACCTGCAACCCCGTTTTGGCAAACTGCTCGCGTAAGTCGACCTTGTCATACGGATGAACCTCGGGCGGTTTAAATTCGCCCGGCTCAGGCTTTTTAATGGGTGTTGAGTTTTCCCATTCCGAATGTCGTTGCCAAAATTCATCGCTGTCCTCCTCCTCTTCATTGGCGGGCCGAGGTTCGGGATCCGGATGTCCGTGGAATTCAACCGTGTGGTAAGGAATCCGGTTGTAGTCAGAATTCACGTTAGTTAGAGTCGCATCCCAGAGTGGGATTGTTCTGGCGAGGATCTTTTCAATGGCTTGGTATAGGTCCCGGTGCTTCTGGGGATGTAGGTTGTTCACATATGAGGCAATGTGACATCCATTGTCTGGAGTAAGCTCAATATCACAAGGCAGCCATTGGAATTGGCGGCTGTAGCCTTGGTGACCTGGGTAAGCCGAATAGCCATAGCTGTCGTTGGGAATGTGAGCTTGTTCCTCTGGTGGCACTTGAAGTAACTGGCCCTGCCCTATGGTGCTGAAACAGTCATCGAGTCGAATCACCTGGTCGGAAAGGATGCGAGTACGGCCATAGATGACAGGGAAGAGCGAAGGATGCACCAGGTCAACGACCTTTTTGTCCGACCCAGGATGGTAATCTTTCTCCTCCTCCGGAACATCCTCTAGCGGACGAGCTGCATCTTTCAATTCCTTCTGGAGCTCGGACGGGATTATACCGTCTGCCTTGACAACGCCAGGATCGAAAGCGACGGTGTATCCCGTCTCATGAAAAACACCAGCTTTCCACTGGAGCTCCTTGAAGATCCAATCAGTCATCTTGGGCGTGATATCCTTGCCGCTGCTGAGGAGTTCGTCGCGCCATTTCGACATGATTTCGTCGTCAAAAGCCTTCACTGATCAACGATCGATTTTTGAACTATATGGCCATACAACCATACCTTTCGATTCCATTGAGGCTTTTCCGTAATGGACTGAATCGCCTGCATCATCAACAGATCCCGATGGGTGTTTGATCGACTAAATGTGTGTTAGTTCTGCGCGCCATAAGCAGGTCCACGATCCTTACCCCACGTAGCCTCCCTCGATATCATTGTAGTTCAGCGCGTTGGGAAAGAGTCTAGGCGAGTTATAATTTTTCCCCAAAGTGAAGTTCAACGGCAATTTATAGCCGGGGAGATCGAAACGAGATGCTTGAGAAGCCATGGTATGCTCGTTGAGAGGTTGGAGAAAGGGTTTTGAATTGGGCTATATACCGATTCATGTGGCGAGGCAGCTGCGGTTGCCTAACTCCACCCTACAACCTTACTTCGACTTTCGATTCATATGGCTTTTTAGTTCCTTTGCTGCCTTGTCCTTATTACGAGTAGAGCGATAATTACTCGCTCTAATGTTTAATTTATCACTTCTTGGATGGGTTAACCGAACCTCTGCGGATATGAACCATGTCTAGCCCATAGATCACGCAGGAAAACATCAGATTTAGAGGCCTATCTAATCCTTAGCCTTCAGCTTCAGAACGGTTTGCTGGATTGCCTCCTGACAGTCCTTTTTTATCTCCTCCAATGACAAAAAAGATGACAGGACAGGCCGCCAGAGCTGTCCACCTCAACAATCCAGCATGGATCCGGATTAGTAATGTTCTAGTTTTCGCTTTGAGATGTCTCTGTACCAATCACTGCTTCTATGCACTCGGGCCAGATCTTGATATGTTGCGCAACGCCCGGGGGTTGTGCTGGTCTCGAGTACAGGCGCCTTCTCGGACAAAGTTCCGTGTGGAGGAGGGATATAAATGATATCACCAGCGACGGCCATTCTCGATCCATCAGGAGACTTCCCGGCCTCCGCTTCCTCATTAAGCTTGTCGAGTTCAGCTCGGGGTTATCACTACTTGATTGTCGCCTTGTGGTTCACTGCACCGCGAGGGATCGTAAAAGGTGTAGGCTGAAGGATCCGCACCTTCGTTTCGTTTGGTGTCAAGGGATTGGAACTCTTATCCTCCGAATGTGAATACAATCTTCCATATTGTCTGGGATAAGCAACTTATTGAAGAGCCCCAACGATTGCCTCGCCGAACTTGAGCTACTCGACGCCGTCATCTATGAACTTGTCCTCTTCCTCCTGCTGCCCTGTCTGGTGCCTAACGCGTTACTCCCGCAGAGGGTATCACTGTCCGAGACGTACATACCAGGCCATACACTTGTCCAGGTTCCACTTCACACTGTTTTCCTAGGCAAGTACCCTAACTCTAATCTTAGTGGACTACTGCTGACAAACGCTTAGATTCTAACGCCTTTGAACGTCCGGACGAGTTCATTCCCCAGAGGTGGACAACCCAGCTGAAGCTGGTCAAGAATCGTTCCAACTGTGTTCCCTTATTGACTGGCTTGTGCCCTGTCATATAAGAGCGGCCGAGTTTAAGTTAATAAATGTAGGATCTTATGCATGTGCCTGGTAAAGTCTAGCATTGATGGAATCCGTCGCATCACTGTGGACCTGTTGTTATGATTCGACATTTTCTTTTGCGTCCGGTCAATCCGAAAAGACTTGGATGGCAAAGTGGATACATATACGCTGGTTGCGGCACCATTGTGGTTGGAATTCTAGAGAAATAAACAGTAGGGCGTTGTGTCTTGTATATTTATATAAATAGCTGACCAAAGAGGAATAAATCAAGAAGCAACCTATTGCTTATCCAAAATGGCATCAACACACTTCTGGATATCAGCACCCACTTCGTCGATATACTCCTTAGCGCCTTTTTCTAACACCTTCGCAGCTCCACTATCATCCAAGGCCACCACTTTCTCATAGTTCTCGGGGTCCTGACCATCGATGCATTTACCGATAGGCTTGTTGACATTAAGACGCCAGTATTTCGGTTTCCCACTATTTGGTGCGAAGGCGTCGATAAGAGTCCTGAAGAGAAGGTGAGTAATCTCGGTATTGGTAGCAGCAGCCGTTAGAGCCGATACGGCCTGAACAGGCGCTTTTCTTGGATCTGTAATCGCTTGGTTGGAGTCGATGCCAGTTCCAATACTGAGGAAGCAGTTGGCTCTACGGCCCATGCCGTAGATGCTCAAGACTTCTGTCCATAGCCTGGAGGGGTCAGCGTTATATCTTATTTAGGAAACGGGGGGAATTGTACTTACCATCCAAGAGGATTGTTGGCACTCAAGCCTCCATCAACTAACTCATAGTCACCTAACTTCATAGAAGAAAAGTATGTGGGAGCAGCAGATGTTGCACGAGCAGCTTGCCACACTTTGACATTGCGGAGGCCGCGAGTTTCATGGGGATGCTTGTAGGAACGCAAGAATACCGGGGAACGGTTGTTGAGCGCGTCTCTCCGGGTAGCTACAACGAATCTAAAATATGTTAATTTGATGTAGATCGATGAGAGAATAGAACTCATACGTTTTGCAAGCCGCATTGCTATCCCCCTCATATAGGTCGGCATTCTCAGTTCCGAGTTTGTCCTTTACGAGCTTCCTGATTTGTGTTTCGAGAGGTTTGTCGTCGTAGGTTTGGCCACTCCAAAGAAGGCTCCCATTCTTGGTTATCCAATCCAAAGCCGATCCAAATATTCCTTGACGTTTCTTGAAGACTATGCCCATCAATTCTTGGTATTTTTGAATGCAGTCGTTGACATCCATTTGAAGACGACCAAGCATAATAGCGATCAAGCTGAAGAAGTTAGTAGAGTTCGCGAACAGATACCATGCAATACATACCCTCCAGTACTGGTACCTCCAATCATATCAAAAACATCACACGGCTTTCTCCTTTCTCCCAACCTTTCTGCTAACTTGTCGAAAATTTTCTGGAGGATATAAAGAGAAGACAATCCACGGACACCGCCCCCATCTACTTTTGTCAGCAGCAATCAACATTGGCAGCAAAGAAAGAAAGAAAGAAAGAAAGAAAGAAAGAAAATCATACCCATAGCAAGAACACGTAATGGATGAGTACGACCGTCGTCGTAATAGTCAGCCCTGAAAGCACCAAGAGAGACCCATGGCATGTAATCGCCAGAAGGCACACTAGAGTTGCACTCCTTGAAGACATTCACCATGATCTTGGTTTCCTTTGGTGTCTCGTTGTATGTAATGGCATCACGGACTAAGATGAGCAATTAGCATCGTTGCAAAATTGCACCTGGGACTCATCTTACCCATTTCATCACCAATATCCAATTTCAGAATTGCATTCCTAACCACGTTGTGGGCATTTTGGTCGCCGGAACAAACACGGACTGCGAGACAATTTCCGTCCTAGGTCTTATTAGCATTTTCAAGTTAGAAATATAGCGTACACACCTCTAACAAACGTAGAAAAGGATGATTCTTGTCAAAGACAGTTCCCTTGTCCTAAATATGTTCGGTCAATACATTCTCTTGATCAGAATTTAGTAAACCTACCCAGCCAAATTCCGTCGTCTGGCTTCGATTTCTATGACTCGTCCACACCAGCTCAATTTCTTGCTTGACTCTAGCATGCTGGTCATTTTCATTCTCCAGAATGGCAAGATCGAACCAGGTCCGGTTATCAGCTGTGGTAAGGACAGAATTCGCGTCATGCGACTCAGTGAACAACTGAAGACTATCGATCCTTCGGATTGTTGCGAGTGTCAAGGGCTATATAAATTTCATTAGATATAATAAATTAGAGATCATGACACATGAGCAGACATACTCCAGTATTAAACCACATTACACATTTAAGATTATCTTCCTCAACACCCAAGGTCTCGTCACTCTCGGGCGTAACTTCCAGTACATTTCCATCGCTTTCGAGCTTGTATGACTTATTCTCAAGTGCAGTTGGCAGAGACGGAAAGGGTTCGAGGGCCCAGAGCTCCTCTGGATTGATCTTGCCTTGCATCACCATGGTGCCAATTGTAAAGTATATGGCTCGTAATTTATATTCCGTCTAGGATATCCCACTGGGCTTATATATGATTTGGGAAAGCTGAATTTCGCTCAATTCAAAAGCTCAGCCTCGGGCGCCATACTCGACTGTTAGCCTCGATTTGGGTAATAATATGCAGCTGATATGGCAATGGCTCAGCTGAGATTCCATGGAGTAACAGCTGGCAACCCGCAATGGCTCATTTTCAGCAGCTCGCAACTGATCTGCGACTATGCACAATTTTGGTGTGTAGCTTATCGACACAGACAGCTAACTCATGACAGGCAATCGACCGATGGATTGTTTGGATGTGAAGAACTCAATACAGAGATTCGGACCCAATTTGAACTTGGGTACATCAATGCTGTTGCTGGGGATTTCCTTTCCACGGCGAGGAGTTGCATCATGCTAAACCGCAAGGCAACAGAGCTGAGCGACGCGAGTCTTGCATCGGAGGCCCCATTACCATCGGTACATTGAGTACCCACACTATTGCCGAATGAGGTGCATTCATCGTGCATTTCAGCTCGCCGTGGAACGGGGCGTCCCCATCCCCACCTGCATGATTTCTATTCAGTTGATGAATAATGCTAAAGAGATGAGGGACCCAGTACTTTTTCGGTAAGTGCAACGCCCAAGGGAGTACGATGTACGGTGTACGTGGCCGTATTTGTGCCCAAATGACTTGCTGCGTCCCTATGACAGTTGGTATGAGTGGAGTATCATAGCTGTAAAATGTCAGGCAAGTCGTGATTATAAAGTATCCCGGGTGACGATAGTAAATACAGTTTACCAAGTACATAAGGGTGGCCTACAGCGGAAAAGTCCTCCTCTGCGGAGTAGCAACTTGCAGGAAGAGCACGCAGATGTTGGCCAAATAATGTGCGATCTGGATGTGTGTACGCAGAGTCTGAAGTAATCTTCCGCACCGTGAGTTCCTATTCAGTGTCTCTCACAAGCCATGGTGGTAGATTGGATCAGAAGGGAAGGAAAAGGAAATCACGCTGCGCTCTTCATGCGTTATTTACTTTTTCAACACGGGCGACTGTCTAAGGAGCCCTTGCCGCATATAGAAGCGCATCTTGTACAACCTTTTTCTATTCTATAGTCAAATCCAGTGAGTATCATTCTTTTCTAGTATACGAAGATGAATGTATCATGGTATCCAGGCATAAGATTGAAGCTTTTCTTCTTCTTCTTTCGTAACTATGCAGGCCTTTGGGTTGGTAAAGATTTTGTTGATAGCCTTGAGCTACCCACGTAAAGTATAAGGTGGGTGAGTATCTGACCAGAAAATTTACAATCGCCCTAGAAAATCCAGGTCCCAAGGGCTTTACATAGAACTTAGCTTTAAAGGTAGATAACTAGTCGTTGGGGCGTCATAACTCCAGTGTATCTCCATTCCAACTCAATTGGTTTGTTCTGTTCTGCGTATTTCCACGAAATGAAGCGAGCTTCACCTCTTCCTTGGTTTTCTACGCACTGCTTAACTTCATTGAGAAAAAGAAAAAAAATTTTAATCCTTGTCGTTACGAGACCGTACATTTAGTCGGCTGCCTAGGTGGATTTCCTTCCCAACTCTTGCAGAATGAATCTCCGCTCTAACTTCTTGCACAACCTTATCAGCTGTTGCTTCCTCAGAGCCGCCATATTCAGCACGCGCAAGAGTCCAAAAATTCATTTTCGTATAGGTGTATATATACATAAAAATATAGTACACAATCCTCTCGAGCATCCAGAGGTCTAGAGGTATATTCATGATGCATTCAAGTCTCTTGAAAGAGAGGGGAAGTTGCTTTTGTTCATGGCATAAGGTCAAAGAATGAAGATTCTATCTGTAGATCTCCATGCCGTGGTTAAAATGACAAACGCCGGCATGCCAGAGAATATGCCCCTCGATAGATTAAAAGTTTCACTGAATCAATCTTTCGATGTGTGGTGGGTCCGGCAGACCAGAGATCAAATCATCTTGCATGCGAGATGAGCCAAAGTAGTCGTAAATCATTCGCCAATTAGCCTTAATTTTGAATCGGCTTCAGAACACCATTATCATCATATCGTGCCTCTGTTTCAGTTAGTGGACTGTCAACTTGAACATACCAGAAGAACACAAACACTTACTGAAAAATGTATAAGACAGCGTAATAGTATCAATGCCCTTCATTGCAGGATCCTTCGCAAAATCCGGATCAATGAAGAAGAAAACCGGCATATCAACCGCTTCCCCAGCATTCAGCTTCTGCTCCTCAAAACAGAAACACTGAATTTTGCTGAAATACGGAGCAACTTGACCAGGCGTCACACTGTACGTCGCGATACCGATAATATCCGCCGGGCCCTTGTTAGTGGCCGTGTAGAAGGCAAGAGCAGTCTCTCCAGGTAGAACTCGTACTTCACGCTGCTGCGGTGTGAATTTCCAAGGTAGGACATCTGAAACGGAGCCGTTGAACGTAATGCGCAGTCGTCTGGAGTCGGTAACGGGAATTACGCGAGCTGAGGTATCGTTGTCTCCGCCGCGGTGAGTGAGGACTGGTTGACCACCCCAGCCAGTTTGTTGGCAGATCTACATCAGCGCAAGAGCATCACGTTAGCTGTCTGGAAAGGAATTGGACGCAGACAGCAGCTATACACACCATCTTATAGAGAGGAACGGAACCATACGCAAGGCCAACGGTTCCGAGCATAAGACTGATCATGTAGTACCTGGGACATATAAGCGCACGAATTTCAAAGTCCAATTCCAGTATTTCCTCACATCGCAGACGTATTCCGCTCTTCCGATGGTTTTGTTTTAAACGGCGCTGCGGAAGCGCTCTCCTCCCGCAGGACGGAATTCCGAGAGAAGCACCTTGCCCCAGTCTGAAAACATCGTGTTCTCAAAAACATTGACGGCCGGGAAACTGCCCCCGATAACGAGGAGCGGCCCCATGGGAGTATAAAACGAGCGAACATGTCGATTGACTTAAATGTGAAGCTGATTGAGAGAGCAAATCCCGTCGTCTTCCCTGTGGATTGAAGATCCACAACACGTGATTATATCTTGGCAAGATCCTTATCGATAAGACCGCGCGCTTTATCGCGACAAATGAGTCTGCAATCGCGCAGATATTAAGTCTTTCGGAGAATATATGTATAGTTCTCTCTGAAACGTTAGGTTAATAGAGAACAACGGCGCATTGTACAGGAGAGCTACGTTCAAGTTGCAATATGCCTTGGGAGATAGACATAGAACAATGCAAATGAAGGGGATGTAGGTAAATCTGACAATGAAGGCTATGATCAGCAAAATTACTACCATTAATGATGATTAGTTACTAGTTATTGTTAATAATACATGTCTCTCCAACACCGGATGCCTAACAATGAAGGAAGTGAATACGACGGAAAGGATAATGAATGCTTCTCCTGTCCCCTCCTATTTCAAGACACCATTTGCAATCTTTCCAAAGACACCGCGGATAATATTGGGTCTTTCTTGAAGACAAGTGAAAAGAATAGCCGCGCTCGTCGCAAAAGTGATATATTCCCGGTGTTGGTACTACACGAGAAAGAAAGAACATTAGCAAAAGCAGCCAATGGGAATTTAGTATTTGAGAGAAATGTCAGAAATAGCAGCGGGGGTGCAGATGTAACCCAACACTCGCCTTGACCAGAGGCAAGTGAGCCGGAATTAATCAATCATACCTTTTTGGGATATACCCGTGGCAGCACAGATGCTGCAGCCCTGGGAGTCACGAACAATGCAAGTTCCTGTCTCTTTCGCGGCTTCTCAACGAGTATGCTCCAGCCACACATCACACATCCAGCACCAACGCAGAGTCCCGAATCCCACATCTGCCGCGTGACAGTTTTCAGATCGAAGAGTTTTGGTCCGAGCCTGGTTCGAGCGAGACAGACAGAGTAGTAAAAGAGCGTAACGAATGCAGAAAGAAACGCAGATGAGCGCAAAGCATCGGTGAGTGCCCCGATGAGAGACTGCCGGGACTTCAAAGCCCGGAAACGAAAGACAAGTTGGAGTGGAATGTAAGTTGCACAGGCAACTTTGAGAGTTTTAGCAAAACGCATAAAAGCATGAAACTCGCAATTCGGACCACAATCCATGTGCACCATCTCGCAAGGAATGGGGATTGTTTTCTCTGGGCTGCCCCATTCCAGTGGCCAACCATAGTCCCTGCACATAGATTCAAGAAGGGGCGCTTGGCCCGTGTCCTTTCCATACACAAATTGCCCTCTCCGTACGCGACGAAGGGCCTCAATTAAACGAGAGTCCACTTTAGCTATATCTCCAATCCATTTCCCGTAAGACCTGGGTAATCTTTCCGGAAGATAAAACCATGCCCACATCACGATTGCAGAACTCGCAGCGAAAGCCCCTGCGTCTGCTAACTGAGGAGCAATAGTCTCTGCCCACGTCAAGCGACCTTGGGCTTTACGACGACGACACCAGGTCGACCATGCCAGACAAACCAGGGCGTCGGCAGCTCTTGTGAGAGTGAAAAGGGTAAGGTCCATTGTCCTACCCGCAAATTCACGAGGATCTTGTGTTTTCCCGTTGCTTTGTGCATCATCGCTTACATTGCGAGTGGTTGTCTGCAATCTGATAGGCTTCTGGTTTAGAAGTTGTAAACTCAATAGAGATGATAAAAATGCAGTGGCAAGGCGGATGAATCGTACAAGGCCGTGCGATTTCAAGACATTTGCTTTAAAGCCAAGCGTACGGGCCACCAGCTCACATAGACGGAAAAATAGAATGGGGGAGATTGTCGAACCTCCAACCAATAAAGCACAGAAAGAAGGAAAGCTATTTAGGCGTATTGCGCACGTTAAAGCACGGCCAATCTAGACACCCAAAGTCAGTTCTGCAATGGGTTACGGTCACCAAACTATACAACAACATACCTCTTGAAGTTTCTCCTTATAGCTCAGGTTGTTCCTCCGAAGACACCGTAAGCTGGATATGACTTTCGGAGTAGTCGAGGAGAGATATCCCAGTGCATACGCGCGTAGTGCACTACAAATAGCAGAGGAACAACCCCTGATGTTAGCGACTCACTTCGAAATAGATAGAAAGAAGAATTCACTATACTTACGGCTTGAGGAGTTGGAGGTTGCTCTTGTGTCCGCAAACAAGGCTGAACGGATCCATGACGCCAAAGAGCTCTCAGATCCTCTGACTCAAACCATCCCTGTCACACAGACACAGCGTACTCTGGGTAACACTCAACGTCAGAAACGGCTTCTGGGTCTGGTGCACAACCAATGATCAACTGTGGGAGGTCTGGAAATGGGCTCAAACTAGGGAGCAACACAACCCAGCTCTGAACTCTCCAGATAAACCCAGTATTCGAACAAAACGCCACGCGGCTTTCTCCGACAAAAAAAAAAAATTCACAGCATCTCGTGGGAAACACACCAGAGACGGAGAGGCCGGGCGCCGCCTATACTACTCCCGCAGGGGCTTTCTTGTAGTACGATCCACCAGCGATCTGCACTGACTGGAAGGCAGTAGGCGACGTATTCAACCTCGGCAACAGAAACTTAGTTTTCCCTCTTTTATCTTCAAGAATAGAAATATATCCAGCGGGCGGTTCAGGGGATTCGAGAGACGATCACCGGCGTAGCAAGTTTGGAACTTCTGGAGAAGTAGTATAGAAGAGGTAGGTTCTCCGTCCGGGCCTCGTACGAGACCTTCGGGCGACCCCTAGACTCACCACGGACAGGGATAAATGCGGGGCAGCTACAAGTATTGAACTTCCCAATTGCCAGTTATTCTGACTGGAAAACACGCAAAATACCAGCCTTTTGGAGGAAAATGAGTTGTAGACATCCACCTTCAATATTCCTGTCTTTGGCAGTTGGTCCGAATGTTCCCCCATAACATGGTATTACGGATCAAGAACGTTCCACCCCGCGGAAAGAGTTGTAATTGTGGTAATACCGTTACGTCACGCGACCTTCGCCTGCTTTACATGTGATCGCCTCGAAAAGACCGACGGCTCGCTTACCACCGCGATTAACTGAACTACCACAGGTTCACTTCGTTATATCTTCTTGTCCAGCTTTGTTCTTGTTGCGTCCGTTTCTAGGGAAGCGTTCACTCTTTCAGTCGCTTTGCATTCTGTGTATCGTTGTTTTTATTTTTATTTTTTTTATTTTTTTTTTGAAAAACCGTCTAGTTTTTCTCCGGTCAGAAGGGTGTGTATATACCCCACGGTCGAGCCTCGCATAGTCACCTGCATATTTTCTGCATCGGGCGCCTGCTAGTCATTGAAGACGCCATTATCATTGTGAAGAAAAGGTCAACATCGTTCGACACACAGTTCGCTCAGTCGTTGGCAACACAATCGTCGAATTTTTCGGAAAGGTTGCTGCACGGTTTTGCTCGACAATATCGAGGATTTGACAATTACGACAACGAGCCTTGGGCTGATCGAGGCATGTCCATATCGTCTGTCTGCGTGCTGCTCTCAGTGACCGGAGTGGCAAACGCCTTCTGATAACTCGTGTATCACCTTCACAGTCGCTCCTTTCTCAACCCCTACAATGATGAATATGTCTACGTCAAAGGCCCAGAATGGCCGGGAAACTCCTCAACCGGGTCCATTTGGCTGTGAGTGTCTATAATGGATATACTCCTGTCTGCTCTCTCTAATGAATGTTATACTTTCAGATTCTTTCCTCTCTCCGATGGATACGCCGTATGAACCCGCTCCCGCGCCGCCGCCTGGCCCAGCGCTCCTTGATGATAATGAATCCAATATGCTTGACAACTTTTTCACGACGATGAACTCGAACAGTTTCTCGAACGATTTTTGGATGCGCAGTCAACAAAACAACAACAGTAACAACAAGTTATTAGAACCCTACAGTTTCGATTGGACAAACGAGCTTCCGCCGACTTTTGAAGGTTCGACAACTTCGCTCTCGCAACCGGTTTTTCCTCGTCAAGACATTGAGAAGCCCAATGGGCCTCCGTTGTCAAATAATACAGATACCAGCTCGGATATACTTGCGGCTGCGTCCATGCTTTATGGGAATGGGTTACAAGGAACTGGGCTTAATCCTATCTTTGACCAGCAAAGGCAGTTCTCAAATGAGGGTCTGCCTGACTCTGGCAACAACCCTGGTTTCAACATACAGCCTAGTCATCACGAGCCATCCGAGCAACCGAACGACAATCCGCGTACAAATCTACCCACTGGCTTTCATACATCAGAAATGCTTTTTGATACTCATAAGCCAATACCAGCTGATCAACGGGCATCGAAAGTGCGAACTCTTCACTGGGGCTCCGACATCAGTTTCATGGATCGTGGTTACTTGGCGCCACCGGATCAGCCCAATGAGGAGGAACAAACTAAGGGTTTATTGGATAATCTTCAATGCCTTGAACCACAGAGCAGTGCGGCCAATACTCGAGCACCTAGCCCAGAACGTACCGCTGGCGGTCTTGACGCTAGGACGGGGTCTACTAGCAACATGCAGCATTCAAGGAGCGCGTATCAAGATACGATGGATGAAGATCCACAACCCAAGAAGAGACAGAAAACCCTTATTAAAACAGAGGAAGATAACTCGGATGAAGAAAGCTTGAAGACAAGAAGGAGATCAAAGAGTAGTGGGTATACCAAACCACGCCGTGGCTCGAATGATTCATTCCGTAAATCGAAAGCAGGGGCTAAGGCAGCCAGAGAAAATCTTTCAGAGGAGCAGAAACGGAATAACCATATTTTATCTGAGCAGAAACGTCGAAACCTCATCAGGCAGGGCTTCGATGATATGTGCTCGCTTGTCCCTGGGCTAAGAGGTGGCGGCTTTAGCAAAAGCGCCATGCTCACACAAGCTGCTGACTGGCTAGAGGATATGATGCGTGGAAATGAAATCCTCAAAGGACAGTTGGTAGACTTAAAGAACACGAACGGCGGCTTCGTAACACCCCGGTGACTGTTCTTTTTTCCATGTCTGTTACGCGACCATGATGATTACTTTCTCCTTCCCTTTGTCTTTCCCTTAGCAAATGCAAGCAAATGATGGGCGTTTCTAATGATATATATAGTTGGTGTCATGATAAGTTGTCTCATAGCATTTTTGGATGGGATTTTTTGATATCTATGCAATTTGGCGAAATGTGTTATGGAAAAATCCTGGGATGGCAAATTTGCGATTTCGGTGAGATACAAGGACTGTGTATGTACTTTGGTTATTTAATCCCAACATGAGAGTATCTGTCAGCTGCTTAGTAGATCTGTCGCCGAGGTTATTATCTCAAGCGATAGATACTGGTACCTTAGGCAGTCAAGTGCCGCTTTTAACCCCGCGTTTAGCCTTCCGAACATGTGACAGCGGGCGGTGAGCGCGTTTCTTCCGCCGTTCAACATCACGCTACGGAGTACAGCACCATTCCTCCAATTGAGCAAGATACTACATGTTATTTTCTATTTATGATATCTAATTAATCCTGCACTTCTATTACACGCGATAGTCCCCGAAATGCCTCCGAAACGAAAGCGCGCCACTGACGAAGCCAGCCAGGCTGGTGATGATCACCAAACCAACACCAACACCAATCGCAAAAACAAGAAGGACAAGACAACCAGCACGCATGATAACCCTCCGCAAATCCCCCCCAAGCAGAAGCGTGCCAGAAATTATTCTGGCCAGGACGATGACGAGAGTGACAACAACAATACGGGCACCGGTACCAGCACCAACAAAAACAACAGAACCAAGAACGAAAAGAAAACCAGCACGCGCGATAATAAACGATATGCCTACTTAAAGTCCCATGTCCGAAATGTCCCCGAACGAACCATCAAGTCGAAATGGTCGACCCTCCCCGAACCTGTGCAGGACAAGGTACGCGACATGTTTCGCGCTCTCGAGCGCCCGGTTATCGTACGGCATCAAAATGAGCGCAAGCGGATTGAGGCGCAGGCTGCTGTTCAGGCTGTTGTAAAGAAGTAGGTTTATGGGATTGGCTTGAGTGTTGATACGGGCAGGAAGGCTAATGTGCTAACCCCTGGTTTTTGAAGTCTTGGGAAGAGGCTTCCTAGGATGCCGTTTCCGCCCGCTACGAAGGAGTCTAGTTTCGAGTATGAAGCAGCGCTTGATGAGCATGTATGTTATCCCCGTCGCCTGTGTTCGCGCGATCTCTAATGACGGGGTCGTTTAGCGTTCCCTAGAGGCGAATCTGGCTACCGTGACGGATAGCATGGGACTGTTAAAAGCGGAGATCGAGAAAGAAGAGGCTCTACTTGCCAAGGAAACAAAACAGCTACATGACATGGAGAAGAATGCTAAGCGAGCTGAGATGGAGAGGAAGAGGCAGATGAAGAATGTGAGATTGGCCTTCACTTTGGAAATGGTGGAATCGCGACTAATCCGTTGGTCTCGCAGGAACATCCTGTACTCCGACATCTTGACAACCTGGCTGAGACTCAGGGCCCGAAGCCTGCCGAATTCACCCTTGCAGATACGAAAGATAGCGAGGCTACCTTTTCTGAGGTAGGGTATCATACAGACAAGCGTTTACTTCAAGGATGCTAACATGGCTTGCTAGCTGGAATCCGACCCGGAAGTCCAAGGTTTATTGAAGCAGCTGACTGGCCATCTGCAATCCATACAGACCAATGCAGCCCCTCTTACTGGTCTCAAAGATGCAGTCAAACGGTCACAGACAGCTCTGAGTCTGCTCCCGATGCCGGAGGATTGAACACATTTACTCGGTAAAACAGCTATTACCTACAACCTTTGCCTGTGTTGTGAGAGCACGTATAGTGTATGCCATCAGCTCTTGCCTGTAGAGGCTCGGGCGAGACACTCTTGGCGACCTAGCTCCCACGAATATCGGGACATGTCTGCTGTGCGACTACAGCCATAATGGGTGAGCATCTTCAGTCCCTCGAGCTGTAATTACTCACCAGTATCTTTTCCATTCTGCTTATTTCAATGACACTGAAGTGTGGATCGTGTATACTGGGACAAACAATCTCTTTGTCAAGCATTGAAGGGCTGGCCGAGCAGGTTACCTAATGCCAACAGGTCTTCCAATGTCCTCTTAGAACAGATGGCAGCAGACTTATCAAGACCAAGAATGCTTGCGCCATTTAGCAGATTATCGTGAGAATGAACCAACCACGATTCTGTGTGCCAGAAACGTCCTCATTGTGTTGTAGTATGGTTGGTCAGTCGGCATGTGGTAAAACCGCTGTATATAAGATAATCCTTGCTACCTATGCGGCAACCAACATTGCGTCAATTCTTAGAATATGTTCTGCGTATAGTCACATAAAATCGCTCATTTCTAGTCATCAACATGCTGCTGAGCCGATAAGGCTGGTCCGTGGCGGCTCCCCATGCGGAGGAGCTCGGTTAGAAACCGGAGGACGACAGCGGGGATACGCAGGCGAGAAAGTGTCCCGGACTCTGATTCACTACCACGCTTGCACCCTGCAACTCCTGTCCCTAGTTATATACATGTCTCTTTATTCGTTCGTTCTATTCTAACCTGCACCAGACGCGCCCGGTCGATGTCTGCAGGGTCCCATCTACCCACCTTCGTTGCGTCCCGGTTTTCAGCGACTCTCACGAGCACTAGCAGCTACACCTACACTACTTTGCGCAGGAACCGTTTCGCGCCCGGCCCGGTCCTTTGCGATCGATGACAGAGAACAGTATCGCGCAATTGAGCGCGGATCCGGACAATCAATACCAGACTGGCAATGCGACAACAGAAAAAATGAACTCAAATTCGAGCGATGGAGATACGCTAGAGACTGGCGCAAAGAGCAAGGCTGAGCAGGCCGCCGCGGGGGCTCATTCCAGCCCAAAGAAGCGTCGCAAGGTCAACCATGGTAAGGGATTATTGTTGCGATGTGTGTTACAAGGAAGAGGGCAGTTAGATACTGTACTTTCCTAAAAATCAAGCTAGAGACCATGCTAACTTGAATCGCCACGTCTGCAGCCTGCGTCTATTGTCGCCGATCGGTAAGCTGCGTTCTTCCTCTTTGGGAGCTTTAGACTGTCTTTTTTCCATTTATTATTATTATTATTATTATTCTTTAATCAAATGCTTCACTGCGCTTGGAATGGTTGCTAACAAGGTATTTCCTCATGTGCGACAGCATATGACTTGCGATTCGGTACGACCTTCCTTTCACCTTCCCTGACAGCCCCATTTGTGTGAAACGCGCTACAGACTTTTTGCATATGGAGATCATTTTACTGACAACTTTCCTTCTCTTCTCTCTTTGATGGTCAAAAAGGAACGACCCTGTACACGGTGTATAAAGCGCAATATCGGCCATCTGTGCCACGATGAACCTCGAGAAACGTCGAAGCGATCACGAAATAGCGAATACGATCAATCAATAGGAGACGACGAAGGTTCGACGAGTAACGATTTTTCGAATGTCCAAGGCATGCCTCGGAACGTCGACGTTCAAGATGCTGCGGGTCAGCAACTTCTCGCCGATGGCTCCATGGGCCTTCCCCCGCCGTCTGTGAACCAAATGCCTCCTTCGTCCTCGTCAGGCCAGGGTCTGAACCCCAACTCTCAACAGGGTAGGGCTCCGCGGATGATTTGATGCACATACATGGGGTCTAGCTGACATTGCAGGGTAGTTATCGGATACAACAATGAGTGGATGGGTGGGCAGAGCCAGTTCCAAGACATGCACACCTTCCATCCTTCATACATGTTCAATGCACACGAAGTGACCAACGAATATAATCTGCTCGGTGATTTCCTGAGCAGTAGCTTGCTGGACGATGGGTCGATTTTCCAGAATGATGATCTGCACCCGCTCTATTCGGACCCAACGTTGATCAACTCGATGGCAATGGGAGGGTCTAATTCGGGGTTGATTCAGCAATCGCATCTTTCCATACCGCAACAAAACCAAACGGCCCAACCTGACTCCATCCAACAGTCAAACGCGGTGGGGAACGACAAGGCAAGGGAGACTTATTACATGACTGCAGCCGACCCGTCAGGTTCTGATCCCCCGGAAGAGCGAATGAACAAACTTCTCAAGGCGAAATACGATGCTGGGTTGCTGAAACCATTCAATTACGTCAAGGGTTATGCCAGGTTAAATCAATATATGGAAAAGCATATGCAGCAGGCATCACGACAAAAGATCCTCCGACAGTTGGACAAGTTCAGGCCGAAGTTCCGTGAGCGGATGCAGAGCTTGACTGATATCGAGCTTATTCTTGTGGAGATGTGGTTTGAGCGAAGCCTGATGGAGTACGACCGAGTCTTTGCCAGTATGGCCATCCCCGCCTGCTGTTGGAGAAGAACAGGAGAAATCTTCCGAGGAAACAAAGAGATGGCTCAGTTGATTGGTGTTCCTATTGAAAGTTTGAGAGATGTAAGTTTCATACATTACCCCACCAGTGTTTTGATGTAGCGACGAGCTGATGTTTTCTCTCAATTAATAGGGCAAATTGGCTATTCACGAGATCATTGTGGAAGACCAGCTTGTGAGCTATTGGGAGAAATTTGGCGCTATTGCTTTCGACAACACCCAAAAAGCGATGCTTACGAGTTGTACGCTGAAGAATCCGAATTCAACCTCTGGGGATGGAATCCGGTGTTGCTTTTCATTTACGATACGACGAGATACCCACAATATGTGAGTAGAACTCTTTACTATTGGCGCTGGGTCATGAAGCTGACTTGTTGTAGTCCATCACTTATCATCGGGAATTTCCTCCCGTCAGGGAAAAAATAATGATTTGCAGATTCCGCGGGTTGTTTTTCATGTTAATGGCATGTTAAAGCTTATTAATTATTGGGTCTCTTTTATTGCGGATGTGCCATTTCAGAATGTTTCTCACAGGGTGTCTATCACTGTATCTGGTCTGGGTTTATATGCATGTTTTGGCAGTGCACAATATTTGAAACAATTTGAAGCAGGTGTACCATAGCATTAGTTGGTATTTATCACGGTTGATATTAGGGGAAAGAATGAAGGTTCTTGGGGTACATATGACTTCTATGTAGACATGTATGTGTGTAGTTGATGGGTATGAACTAACCCGGTCAGGTGAGCCCTCTCTTTGACCTGACAGTCGACATCCAACTCAACTTTCACCACCAAATCCCATCAATCGTTTACCAATCCACGCAGAATTGCTGTCCATCGTCTAGCCATCAAAGCATAACTCCCATTAAAGGGTCCCATCCACATGGCGGCATCCACATCAACAACTACTCCCCAGGAGCAAGCTTCCACAGTCACAGGTAAGCCTTCACATCTCTATTTCATTTTCCCACACCTCTCTTCCTCCACGCTACTCAAAATCTAAAACACATTCAGCATTTGCCAAAGCTCTCCAAGACCAAATCTCATCGACTATCGCCGCCTCCAGCCCGCTAGCTATCCCCGACAACATCCTTCGCACACTCGATACACACCTTAATCACCTCCCCTTATCACGAATATTCCTCACAATATCCATGCGTCGCCAGATTGATGCGAGAGGAACGGAGCTATGGAATACATGCTCGCAGGTTAAGAGGACTTGCAAGGATGGTGGTGTCCGTGGTTTGTTGAGTAAAGGTTTGTCTGGGTCTGAGGGTGCATTCTTCTCGTGATTAAGCTCTGATAATTTGCAGTGAAGTATCTGGCCTTTGTTATGATTGAGAGTGCTGCACCTCGTCGGGGGTCGGGTCTGTATATTGCGGAAAGGGTGGTTTGATGGAAGATACTGATTGTGTCTAGGAAATTTGAGGGCTCTTGAGCTCGCGCTGAGGACAGCCAGAAACTGCTTGGGTATTCCTTGTCCTTCTTCTAAGTTGAATAAATATGACTAACTACCAAGCAGAAAGTGAGCATTTCGAACTCGGCTTGAAAGCTCTGGAGATTGCGGCGGCGAGGTTAGATACTTTTGAGAAGTCAGAGGCCGATAATTTAAGTCTATCGGCCACCACGACGGAATATTATATGCTTCGCATCTATCTGGTGAGTCACCATTGATCTAGCTCAATTCAACAGACTAACGATTAAGTTAGTCGTGGTTTCAAGGAAGGCCGGATATCGCAGAGCATTTGTTCTCCAAGACTAGCGACATCCAAGGGACACTGGAACAGCAAAAGACGATTATAGAGGTTTGCTATATCATTGGGTCGTCGGCTCTTTCGAAAGGCCAACATGATATAGCGGTCCATTGGCTGGAAAGGGCATTGAAATCGAGCTCTTGTTCTAACCAGGATAGTGAGCCATCTGAACTTGCTCTGAAGGATATGAGATTGCTTATACTACATACCTTGGGTGGGTGCTTCGTTATGGACATTCATCAGTGGGTTGCTCACAAGTTCAGTTCGGAGCCGTCTCCAGTTGAATACACCGAACTCGCGGGATTGTGCACTCCAAGCATTGAACTCTTTGAAGACTGTAAGGCACAGACCCTGGTTCCTTTTTAGCTACTAATAAATTCAGGAATACATAGATATATTTTCTGTAGTCATGCTTCAACTCGAATTCCTCAGCAAAGAACATCTGAATTATAATGACTATTTTGAATGTAAATCATCCCAAGCCACATTACCATTCGGTACTGAGAGAACCTACAGGCCTTGAAACTGCCGTACGAATGATGGAACTTACAAACGTCACTCTAAACACGTAAGTCACCGTTGTCACTTTTATTATATACTATCTAACGCCAGAAATACAGTGCCTTCTATCATATCCAGAAACTCAGCAATTACAGGTATGTTGGCCTCGATCACGTATGCAGCAGTCTCTGATTTCTATGGACAGCTGGGATCTCTCCATGAAAGTATCTCGACAGCTTCTGCTCGAGAAACTCATCCCTTCCGGTAACCATACCTTGATAGGGCAGTATTTCGTTGCCTTTGTCTGGATTGTAACCGATTCAAACATACCTGCATCGCAAGAGTTGGATACCATTATAGATGCTGCGAAAACACTCGCTCAGTCTAACACAAATGCTCTGGGTGAAGACGCCGCTCATGCTTCGTTAGCTGTAAGTATGAGAGAATGTCCGTTTGAAATGCTAACTAACTATTTCAGCTTATATGGAGACGAGTCGAAAACATGACTTTCAATGGCGATATCTCTTTAGCAGAACAGTGGTGCCTGCTTGTCCTTGAAAATTCTATTTTCCAGAATTGCTCCACAACCAACCGGGGCGTCCTTCAAAGGTTAGAAACCGATGTTGTTCGATTTGGAATTCTGGGACAAATGGCTAAAACTGACCAGAAAATTAATGATCTGCGCATTGAATAACCCAGACACTTCTCTTACATACGAAGCGCTGGATCGAATACTGGAGCGATCTCACGACACCCCTTCGACGCTTTACTTGGCGTATATGATCACTCTGTTGCATGATGAACCGGACCTGGGTAAGCTGACTGGGAGTCTTGATGCCATAATTTCTAACACATAACAGGAACGAGCGTCCTGGAAGCGCTATATAAGCTAGGAGCAAGTGGAGTCACGTTTCTCTTGTCCTGTGCAGCAGAAGCTCAACGTCTGGGAAAGATGCAGCAAATGATGAATAGCATTCTGCGGGTTATTGCAATTCTGGATAGTGGATGTCATGAAGGGTCAAACCTTCCAACTCTTGTTGGGTGAGCTTATTTCTCTTTACTTGAAGATTTAGACTGACAAGCGCAGATCCACGTTACATATTCTCTCAACGGAACTGGATAATTGCAAATCAGGCACTACGAAGGTCTTGGAACAGATATATCGGGCCTTTCAAGCTGGTAGATGACCTCCGATTCAAATCCTCGAAAACCATTAACTGACCAAGGTATCCTAGCCCTGAAAGGTTTGACTAAAAGCAGCAGTACATTCTCGAGCAACGACGTACAATGGCTCTTCGAGAAGAGTTATAATCTGACTTTGCAGTTAGTCAGGTCTTCTCGCTACAGTGCAGCTATAAAGTTGCTAGATGTCTCCCTGAAGGTACGATATGCATTGCTGGTATCAATTGTCTCTAACATCACGTATAGCTGGCAGGTCTATACCCACAGACCGCGGAGCCCAAAGATACGTCCAGAGTTCTTGAGCATAATCTCTCATGTAATCTTCTAAAAGCCCTCATTCTCATCATAGAGGCACGCGAGGAAACAGACCCTCTCGCAAAGGTACACCGCACCAACCACGATCGAAACATGCATACTAAGCACAAGCAGAAAAACCACTACACCATTACTCGCAACACGATCGAGTACTTCCGAGCACACGTCGCAAACCACCCACAACTTCAACAGAACCATGAAATAACGGTCCCGGAAAAATGGCAAGAAAGCTACAAAGCCCTCCTCTCCTTCGACTTCGAAGCCGCCGTCTTCCTGTCCCAATGGGACTGTCTACCACGTATAATCGAGGAATTAAGCTTATTCGCAGACTCGAGGCTGTGCACTGTTTTCCTGGACTTGATTCTATCTGCTGAGGCACCGGTGAGCGAGATGGTAAGGGTTGTCATGGTACGTCCCTTCACCTTAAATCAACTAGTTTTCAGATAGAGCAAGGGCTAATAACTATAGACGATAATAAATACCCTCCACACCTCCGCCTCCCCAACTCTCAACAAATCCTCCTTTGTAACCTCTCTCCCGTGCTACCTCCGCTGCCTCTTCCAACTATCCCTCCAAGCAAGCGAAATCCCCCTTGCAGAATCCATCCTCGATCAATCCATATCCTTAGCCTGTGGCTACGATGAAGATACCAATACAAACAAGGATAATAATGCCATAGCCACCTCCAACGGCAAGAATAACAAGTACGACTATCCAAACGATGAACTCGAATGGCTCGCCACGATGACGTTCAATCGCGCAATAGATTTTTACCTCGTCTCTGCGGATGAGGAATGTAGACGGTGGGCCGGGAAGGCGATTATAATTGCTGATTTAGTGAAGTATAACCATGGTGCGTTGGGGAGATTGTTGAGGGCAAATTTGGCGAAGTTGCCGTGATGTCTGCCAATTATCAGGCCATATGTTACTAGATAGGATCCTGTGTACGTTGAAATGTGGTGATGAGAAGAGCAAGTCATCATCTAGCCGGGTACTGCAGTCCGATTCAATGAACGCGGCCTGGCATGTCAATGCGGGTATCATTTGAAGATTAGCTAACTAAGGGGCTTCGGGAAACAGGTGGAAACACGAAAATGAAATGGAAATCGGAAAAGGCGAAAGAGTGACCGGGAAAATAGACATGTAAGAGATGAAATGAAAAAAGAAAACCAAAACCAACCATCAACCCTATGCAAAAAGGAAAAAAAAAAAAAAAATCAAATCAATGAATAGATGAGAAACAACCAACCTTGAACAAATGAACAGAATATATCGAAAAATACCAGCAATGAATCACCGTGCCCATGTCTAGGAAAAATGACCGTGAGGGCAGATCCCATAAAACTCCCCTTTTGTGTTTTGCAAAATCAAAACAGTGACAAGAAAACTGAAGAAAACCGAAGAAATTAGATGAAATGAGATAACAAAAATAAGCATAAGTGGAAGTAGCGAATGCAAAAGTAAACCCGAAGAAGAAATGGGAAAGAAGAACGAAAGAGGAATGAGAATTAAAAGGAGGCAAGTTAACTCAACCCTCCCCATTATCAATAGACCGACTCCTACAAACACAACCCTCCCTCGAACTTTTCTGTCCAAGTTCCGGAGTTGAAGGCAAATGCGGAATCCGCAAGGCCCTCCCAGACGACATAGACGACAGAAACATTTGCTCATTCTCCCTGCCGCTGCTATCAGTCTCCGTCTCCAACTGTCCATCCCCGTAATTCTTGTTATGAGAGCCCAAGCTCCGAAGTGTGAGACTGAGTTCGCGTTCCAGTTCTCTTTGAGAACGGAGATGTTCGGAGGATCCGTGGAGCTTCTTTCTGTAGGCTCTGAGGGTGCGGCAGACTTGTTCTGTGGACGTGCCGAGGCTTCCGGAGTCGTTCTGATGAGAATGCGAGTGTCTGGTGCGGGAGCGGAATTCTAGGGAGGTGCGGCGGGTGCTGCTGGTTCTGCTGGCCATTTTCTTTGTTGGTGTGGATGTGGATGTGGATGTGGATGTGGATGTGGATGTAGATGATGGTGCTGGGTTTGGTGTTGGTGTCGACTTCGGACTAGTAGACGGCGACCTGCGCTGTCTCTCGCGAGGGGTAGCATATGTGGGGGAGCGGCGAGATGAGTTTGGTGAAGAGGGTGTAGAAGAAGACGCATGACCATTTCTCAGAGAGGATGATTTCAAGGAGAGCTTCGACATCTTGCGTACCAGTGGCGATGAGCTCTCGCGCACTGGTGTGGGAGTGACAACTGAGGGGTCTTGCTTTTGGAAACCGGCAAGCTCGGATTTCGACAGAATTCGACGAATAGGTGGCTTAGATGCAGTCTTTGCTGGTGTATCATCGTCATCGCGGCTGCTGCTGCTCTGAACTGGATCCTGAGATTGATGAGGCTGTACGGTCAGGCTCCAAATCATGACGACGCCATCGATGCCAACGCTGATTAGTGTTCGTGTGACCGGATCGTCTGGAGTATCTTGCGGGTTATCTAGTAGAAGCACGTCGCTAACGCCCTCTGCATGCCCAAATTCACCGGTAAGAAGCAAGTCTCTATCCATGTCGTAGACGCGAATGGATTTGTCTGTACTCGAAACTCCAACAAGCACCCTGGGACTCTGTCCAGGAATCCCAGTAGCCACAGTCAGAGCACCCATGACAACGGCGTCAGGTGATTCTGAATCTGCGGCGCGAAAAGCGTGGACTGCTCGGCCCGAAGAGAGATCGACAATTTGGATACAACGATCCATCGTGGAAACAACAAGAATATTTGAGTCGTCCGGCGAAAAGGTCATGGATACAGGAGATGATTTTAGGGTTACCGTTTTCGATATCAGATAGGCAACGGCAGTGGCTCCATCCTCCTCGCGGGTCACACGGTTCCTGATGAGGATGGTACGATCCGACGAGCATGAAAGCAACCTTTCCCCGTCCTGCGAGAACAATAGTTGACCAACTGCTCCGACATGATCGTCCATTGTTTGGATCAACTCAATGCTTTCGTCGCGCTTCTGAAAAAGCTGGATCATGCGATCCCGACCAGAGCTGGCAATCAGAAAAGCGCCAGAGTCCAAATCCGAACGTATCGCAATGTCCGTAATCTCTCCACCATGGGCGCGGACTTCATTCACACACATCCATGGTTGTGCAGATATCACTCTGTAGTCCAGTTAGCGTAACGAACAAGCTATTATCGCAAGATGAACGTACCTCAAAACGCCCAATTTATCACCCGAAACATAGAAGTTTAGGTCTTCCGCGGCTGCCACCGTCTTCAGCTCGTTAGACACATCGTCATCATCGCTGGGAAGCTTGTCCACAGGAATTGCCCGAGAAGCTCGACATTTCCCGTTGGTATCCCAGAAGTGCACAGTGCCTTTGCAGGACCAAGTAAAAAAGTCCGCTTTGAGTTCGTTAGGACCCTTCAAGGAGCGAATACCAAGAACCGAGTCACGATGAGCCGGCATTGTTGTGTCCGTTGAGCTCTCGCTCTCGTCATCTTCACCGTCCAAGCTGTCAAATGGATAAATGTTGACCACTCTACTAGAGTCCAATGTAACCAGGTGCGATGAGAGCGATCCCATGCAGGTAATCGCGAGTCCTTTGGACTTTGGTCGGGGTCCCGGGCTGGTAGGTGGACCTGGAGATGATGCTGATCGCAAGGAATCGACAGAGAATTTTTCCATTTTCCGGCCGCGACCACCTATCCAAACACATGATCCGTCTGAGTCGGCCGCCAGAGAGGTGATATTGAACCTCACATATTGGACCATAGATAGTTTTTGGGAACCTGCACTATCATCTAGGAGACACAATGCGCCCGTATCCGTACCGAGAACCGCTTCGGTGTCTGAGATGCTTGCAGCGCAAGTGAAGGTGCTATCCCCCAAAGCACCGAGCACGCAGTTTCTCCCCGAAAGCGCCTTCGGTGTCGGATTGGAGGAGTGTGCTGCAGATTCCGGATTGAGGCGAGATTTGCCGGGAGATCCTGGCCTTTGATCTGTGAGTCTCCATACTTTAACATGTCGAACGCCAGCCGTGATCAAAGTCTGACCAATCCAGCACATGTCTTTGACAAACGCAGTGCATTTATTTGTCGAGTGTATTCTAGCTGACCCATTTTTCAAGCTGACAGCCCAGATGAAGAGAAATCCATCGTTGACGTTACCCAGCGATGCTAGGTGCTGCGAGTTGGAGCTAAATGCCAGGTTACGGACGCCAAACGTGTGCTCATTGAGGATCGAAAGCGGTACGTCGGGGGAGGAGTCTTTGGCCGTCGAGTAAATCATGACTCTCGGGTTATAACCTGTCTGAAACAAAGAGTTAGCGATCCCTAGGTGGGCTCCATGGCGTTCCACTTCCACTCACCTCTCCCATTGCAAGAAACCTTCCATTAGGACTGAGCGAGACGCTCGTGACGGCTTTGATACGCTCTCGCGAGGACCACCCGCGAGGACTACCGCTTTCCGCCCAGTCGTTGGAGGGCGAACCATTGTGTAGACCGCTTGTATGCGCATTCGACTTTATCGGAGTTGATCGTGCTCTGGGATCAGGGGTACTGGGCGGGGTAGACTGATGGTAGAAAGATGTCACTGGATTGACGCTAGTCGCAGAGGGGCGAGCTCTAAAGAATCGCTGTTGAACGTTATTGTCGTCATCGAGCTCCGCTAGAACGGCGGCGGAACCGGCGCAGAAGGCGAAAGATCTGCTCTCATCGTGACTCGAAAAGCCATTGGGAGCAGCGGTTGTAGTGCCAATGACCGTCTGAAGAGCTAGGACTGTCTGGTGCGCAGAGGGTTTGTTTGGGGATCGGGCAGCTGGTCGGGGAAGGGGGGAGTTGGAGGGAGTGATTCTGAGTGAAGTACCGGGGCCAGCCGCCGGTTTGCATTTCCCGTTGGACGGAGTGTTGCTGGACATGCCTCGAGGTATTGCGAACTCGACAATGGTGGGAGAAATTATGGTTTCAGGTTTCTCATTTCAGCGTGATCGCATAGACAAAACAAGCAGCTGCCAGCTCCTGTCTGAGCTCCATCCACGACTTCACCACGCGCGTACTGAGAATTCGTTGGATTTATAAATCGAGAAAGAAAAGGTTCGTTTTCAAATCGAGGAACCGAGGGAAACTTTCGAGTCGATCAGATACGAGGAGCTGGAAGAGCTGCGGTCGGCCGTGTCCAAGGTGGGCTGTAAAGAGGGATCGCCAGATAGAGAAAGAATGTGGATTGAGAGAAAGAATGACTGGAGTTGAGAGAAAAGAAAGGCAAAGGATGAAAGAGAGACACGAATGAAAGAAGGGAGAGCTCCAAGGAGGCTGAAATGAAGCGAGAAGTTGGGTTGAAAAAAAGAAAAGACGAGAGGGCGAGAAAAGTGCGAGAAGGTCGACTGGAGCTGGGAGTTCGTTGGCGCTGCTGAATTATGGCACCAAGATATTCTTTTGTAGACTAGAATAATACTGGATAATAGTAAAGTAACATGACAGGAATAATATTGAATATTCTATCTCAACCCGAAAAGTCGTTGTGTGCGTCAAGGCAGCTCCCCAGTGTACTAAGCGCCTGTACAGCTGTTCCAGCAAAAGTTGGAGGATCGACCACAGGGCAACAGCTGGTCCGTTCGAACCGGTGGGGATGGAATGTTGAACTCTCCAAGTGCTTGTGTATGCACAAAATACTCGGTGATTTCACTCCATGCCATTGTTTCAGGTTGAAGTGCCTCATTCAAGTTTTGATGTATATACTGGGAATCAGGGTATCTCAAGGAGTATGCCCTACCTACTTTGCTGCAGGGTCCCTTACAACCGAATAATGTCCAATATCATTAGTTACAGGACTAACGACTAGAATAGAACAAACATGTAAAAATAGATAAAAAGAAAATGTCTCTTTGATTATAAGACAAACAAAGGAAGAAAGAAACATTCACATATTTTATTTTGTTTTATGTTTACTCTACCGGACTCGGGATTTGCAGGCATAACAAGGATACTCTACAGAGTACTCTGTAGCGTAACTATATCCATTTTGATCGTTCTGCTGACAGCCATTAATCATTTCCACGCACACCAAGAAAATCTCACCGACTTAATTATCACAAATGAAACAAAAAAATATTGAGGATTGCTGCTCATTATTGAAGCACGTGATCTATAGCAATTCATGCCTGAGGCATGAATTGGAGCATATCGAATCGCATCCAGACTTTTTACAATCCGTTATCAGTTTTCTACTCCACTCCAATTTCCATCTCTACGTTCGATACCGGTCTTGGGAAATATTGAACAGCTTCGATCAACCAGGTCTGATCTAGCCACACAATGTCTTCCCCTTGTATTGCTTCTTCCAAGCTGGCTCTCCCCTCTGTCCTCCGAAGTCTCTTCCGCGCCGAGTTTGCCTCTAAAGTTCGACCTCAAGACTCTTTTTACAACCGAGCTAAAGTTCTATCGCTACGTCGAGCATTTGTCCCGTCCCAGAGCTTCCAAAGCAAGCGAACCATTACCACTTCCCTTTCCCGGTCCCAGGGGTTTCAGTCTGAACAGCCGCCGTCCTCTTCCACCGAACCCTCTTCCGCCACTGATAACTCTAGTCCGTCGCAGTTCGACCATGTAGTGGAAAGCGCACCGGAAGTCAAAGCCAAGCACGCTGAAAAATCACAAGGGCGGACGAAATCTTCGCGGGCTCCAGATACCAAATCCAAAAGTCAAAAGCCTCCAGGCATGCTACAACAACTACAACAATCTCAGCAGAAGAAAAAGAAGCGCGAGGGGTGGCAAATTCAGAAAGATGCATTGAAAGGCAAGTTCAAGGATGGATGGAACCCAACCAAGAAGCTCTCACCCGATGCACTTGACGGAATTCGACACCTTCATGCCATGGCTCCAGACCGCTTTACCACGTCGGTTCTCGCAGGACAGTTCAAGGTGTCCCCTGAGGCGGTCAGACGCATCTTGAAGAGCAAGTGGAAAGCATCGGAAACCGAAATGGATGACCGTCGCAAGCGTTGGGAGAAGCGACATGACCGGATTTGGAGCCAGATGGCTGAGCTGGGTCTCAGACCGAAGAAGAAGCGCACTCAGGAAATCGATGATTCCAAGGTATTATATGAGGACGATGGATCGTGAGACCTTTGTTCTTGGGGCTGTGATTCCGAAAAAGTATTCAATTGCATAGCGACGTTTTGGGTCCATAATGACATTGCATCTAATGGCGTTTCTCATTTTGAAGTTCTAGCAACAGACATTATACATAGATCTCTCCAGAGAATATATAGCTCCAACAAGGCCGTTCAAGCCAGCCAAATTATCTTCCATGGCAGAATTAGGAATGAAATAAACATTTACTGGTCCTCAACAAAACAGTCAATGTATCACTTTATACATTTTCAGTCATTTCAACTTTCTGCGCTGCGTACTATGTATCGGTGGACGGACTTACGTCTTTGCGCAGACCGTCACATCCCGGACAGACAACTTTCCTCCTTCACCCCATCGCCGACCTCATCATGGCCTTTTTCATTCGACTAACTAGTCCCTAGAATGCCCCGGTTGGCATCGACAACAATTCTTTTTTTTCAGCACACAATATTAATCTCCTGAACGCGTTATAAGTGGCGGCTGGCACCGACCGGACCTGTCACTACCCCAAAGCCTCCGCAATTCGCATATGACCATCTCGCGACCCCCATCCTCGCCATGCCATCGTCGGATATTCAAGTCTTTGTGAAATGGAAAGACCAAACTATCTTCGCCGGGGAAGATGTCGAATGTACAATTACTTTCCGCAACGTCGCAGGCACCAACAATGCCGAGTCCAATAATCACCATAATGGCGGACAGCTTACTCCTCACCAGCCGCAAAGGAAACAACCCAGAGCCGGCAGTACTGATTCTTCTTTTTTCTCTTTAAAATCTCCACAGAACCTTTTCTTTGGCTCGAACCGTCGTTCGCATTCTCTCAGTCCGCAGAAGAAAGCGTCTCATCGTACGTCGTCATCACTGAGCGCTCCGTTGAGTGGTGGTGCCCATAGCTTCCCCCCGCCGTCGACACCCCAGAATGGGCCTCCCTCGAGTCACAAACACAAGCGATCCGTGTCGATTCTGTCCATTGATAGTGAAGGTGGTAAGGGAGGGAACGGAGGGGATAAGACGCCCTCGTCTTCCTCGCCGTTCAGTCGCATGCCGCCAAGAGGCCATGGTCGTTCGGCAAGTCTACAGGTCCCGCCGAAACGGAATGATAGTTACGATGAGGCTTTCATGAAAGGTATGCGCTATCTTGGGAAATTGTAATGGAGTGCTTGATCGTGGGCTAACAAGTCTTGTAAACCAGGTGGGCGACCTACCCGTGGCTATCCGCCTCTCGAATCCCCGGTCAATCTATCTCCCGGCAATCTGAGAGTCGATGTGAGCCATCGTGGAGGCTCCAGCGCACCGAGCCCTATAAGACCGAATGAACCGTCGCATGTTCCTAACAGAAGACCGCAATTGCCTCCCTTAGACTTCAAGTTCCCTGCGGCACCAGCTTCAACCAACGATCGCTCCGCTATTTCACCTTCAGTGGCATCAACAGAGGAATCCTTTGCGCCAACGGCAATAGGAAAACCGATCAATAAAGATGGTCCTCCCCTGTCGGCCCAGAGTCATCTGCCGCAGATGACCAGGATAATGTCGACATCAAGCCAAAGCGGAAGAAGCAGTGGGGAGTTCTACTCTGTAAGTGACCACTCATCGGAGACACTCCAGTCAGAATACACGAACTATTCGATACCGGTACCGCGGCCAATCCCCAACCGTCATATGCGACACCATTCCAGCGTGGACCCTAGTCCTGTGCTTGCCAACAGCCAGACACTCATGATGGGATATGCGCAGATAAGCGCATCATTTACAGTGGATGGTTCCTTAATTAATCAATCTGCCTTTGAAGAGGTAAAACGGAAAGGTGTCGTTGGTGGACAGGGCAGTGGCACTGGAACACCGGGTCCCGGCGCTGTCCGCGGTGACAAGGGTCGGAAAGGGGGTGGTTTCTGGGGCGCGTTGCGGTGGAATAACATTGAGGAGTCTCTGAGTGGACTCATGTCCAACAATGACCTTGATGGTCTGCGAGAAATGCGGGGTGTATCCTCGTCGAAGTCAATCCCATTGCTGTCCACGTCTCAGTCGCTCCTGTTCGTGGATCTTCGCCTCGCGCCTGGTCAAGAACAATCATATTCTTTCTCTTTCACTTTGCCCAGTGGCCTTCCTGCAAGCCATAAGGGAAAGGCTATCAAAATTTCTTATAATTTAGTTATTGGTACCCAGAGACCCAGTGGATCGAAGTCGAACGAACCCCAGCGCGTCAATCGAATCAACGTACCATTTCGGGTATTCAGTGGTGTGAACGGTAAGAACTCCAATAGCCTAATCTCTTGACTACCTTGTGCTGATTATTTAATTCAGGCCAAGGACGAATCCTTGGTCACAATTTGATGTCCCCATACGTGCTCCTCCGTGACGAAGCCCGGGTACAAAAGATAGGATCTAGTCCATATCCGGCATGGAAACAGCAGAAAAGCTTTAGCGGGCCGACGTGGACATCCGCCCCAGAATTTCTAGCCTATGTGGATGAGATCTTAGAGCAACGGTCACGGCAAAACTCATTACAGCCTCCTGACACGCCAGCTGAAAGACGGGAAATGCATAATATATCAACCACGACGCTGTCTTGCAAAGATGCAATTGACTTAGCGATTTTACGGAGCAACCAAGCATCCCAGTCTTCGCACAGTCCTAACCGTTTTGAGATTGCTCGCAACGGTCGTCGGATCGCGGTGGTAATCCTGAACCGCCCAGCGCATCGATTGGGAGAAGCCATCATTGCTACGGTCGAATTTTCAGATGCGGCACTTCCATGCTACGCTCTCCGTGCATCTCTGGAGACATCGGAAAAGGTATCTGAGGAATTGGCGGTGCGGTCGAATGCGAGTATCCATCGCACCACACGACGCATCCATGCGTCGTTCTTTGAGAATACCCTACACGCTACGCGAGTCGTCTTCACTCCAGCCGTTCCCATCGCGGCCACTCCGACTATTTTGACGAGCGGAGTGAACCATGTCTGGGAACTACGGTTCGAATTTGTGACGCCCAGCATGCACAGCGACACTGACACAGAACAGCCCTCTGGTGCCGGTTTACTCGAGGCTATCCACCAAGATGACAGGGGACAGGTCGTGTCGGCTTTGGAGAATCTTGGCTGCGAGTCTTTTGAAATTGCTATCCCTCTCACTGTATATGGCGAGACGGTTAGGGAGAGATTACCCGAGGAGAATGAGGGATATTCTATATAGCCATTTCTTTTTCATTTATGGTAGTAGTTGGGGATTTGGTTTATGTTGCGAGGCGTTAGATCTGTTTCTTGTAGCTAAGTTTATGTTGATATCCCGTCTTCTAAGGAAGAAATGTATTATATGATTGCATTATTGATTCTCATTGCAATCGTTTCTATCTGTAGTTTTAAACTTGTACTTGTACTATGTATGCTTGTATTGTTGTCACGGCAACGGCGATCGCGGGCAGTTCAGGGTAGATCCATGGTTGGAAAGCCGGCGGGTTTGCGATCGCGGAGAAAGAAAGCGACGCTTGACAGCTGGATCCTCATTTGCCATCATCCTATTACATCTTTTCCCTATCTATCGGTTGGTCTGTTCTGCATATCAACGGTCACTAGCTTCCTGTTATATTTTTCTGTCTGCGCGGTAAGACATAACACGCTCCTGCTTATTGCTCCTTCTCATTCTTGCGACTTCCCCTTCCTCTTATCCCGCCGGTCCCCAACTGAACTGAACTGAACTGACGATTGCTTGAATTCCGGAATGTAGGCACACAACCCACTGTCGCGCACGATTGAACGAACCAGTCTCGAATAAATCGAGCCCCTACATTCCGTTCCTGAGTCGCCATTGTTTTCGATAACGAATCATCGAGAGCCATCACGAACCAACGTCATTCCAGATCCCTTCACGGTCACGGTCGATTACATACTGCGGAAACAATACCAGCAGGCAGGTAGACAAGTGAAGGAAGAAAAAGAGAACAGAAACTATGGCATCACTCATCACCACCATGTCTGTCCCCGTTCCTCCCAATACCATCTGCCCGCCTTCTTCGTCTGTTGCTTCTGCCTCTATCATTCCACCCCTCACTCTCACCCCATCTATTCGCTCCAAAGCCGGTACTATCCGTACCTCTCATGTTCCCTTTGCGGAACCCCCCTCGTATCTACCCCCAGCACTGCGCGCGCTCAAACAGGATTCGTGTGGACTGACACCTCCCAGCAATGCTCGGACGAGAGCCCCCTTCAAGCCGCGGTCGGCCGCAAAGGGAACCAGCAGTTACCAGCTGAGACAGTTTGCCGAAGCGACGCTTGGGAGTGGGAGTTTGAGGAAGGCTGTTCGGTTGCCTGAGGGGGAGGATTTGAATGAGTGGCTTGCGGTCAACGGTGCGTGGGCAGTTCAACCCTTCTTGTCGGAACCTTGCTAACAGACGGCTGGTATAGTGGTCGACTTTTACAATCAGATTAACCTCCTCTATGGATCGATTACTGAGTTTTGTTCGCCGTCTTCATGTCCGGAGATGAAGGCTACCGACGAGTAGGCCCCGACAGATTTGACTACTGTTCGTCGCGAGCTAACGAAGACAGGTTCGAATACCTGTGGCAAGATTCGGAAAATTACAGACGACCAACCAAGATGTCCGCGCCGGCTTACATTGAACACTTGATGAGTTGGGTGCAGAGCAACATCGACAACGAACAGATGTTTCCCAGCAGGATCGGTGCGGTACCCGCATATAGGTCTAATGCACGTCATTCAGCTAACACATCTTCGCGCAGGTGTCCCCTTCCCGAGATCATTCTCCAGTTTACTCCGTCAGATCTTCAAGCGTCTGTACCGAGTGTATGCACACATTTACTGCCACCACTACCCCGTGGTCGTTCACCTGGGCCTCGAACCCCATTTGAACACCAGCTTCAAGCACTACGTCCTCTTCATTGATGAGCATCGGTTGGCAAGTGGGAAGGACTTCTGGGGTCCATTGGGTGATTTGGTCGAGAGTATGCTCCGGAGTGATTGACGCATATCTTTTTCTTCCGTATAATGTACTGGCGTTGAGGTGTTTGGCTTTTTTTTTAATTTCTTTAATATCCTCTGTCACCTGTTAGAAATGAGACTTAGCGAATGACATACCACAGTGCTCCAAGTTGTAGCAAAGTCCAAGTTGTAGTGCAAGTGATGCTTTAAACTAACCGAATCGGCGTGTGCGGGAACTCACGTGACCGGATCGGGAGAAGTTGGACGTCGCTTCATCACCGCCGCGCCATTGCATCTCTTCCCCTCCGACCTCGCCTTTTCCCATTCGGTCTTTCTCTTCGCTCCCTCCCCTCGAGGCTCGTTTCGTTCGGTACAATTCACTCGGCCATCATCATGTTCCCCGCTCGATTTGCCCGCGCTGGCCTGCGTGCCACGGCCCAGCAGTTCTCCGTCCCTCGCACTGCCGCCGTCAACGGCCTGAGGTCCTACGCTACCCCGGCCCAGGAAGTCAGGCCTCCCGTGGCCCTCTTCGGTGTTGACGGTACCTATGCCACTGCTTTGGTACGAATCTTTCTATCTCTGCCTCCCATTCCTCGAAATACCTGAGCTCTGTGGCTGCAGTTACAGCTCTCCGTTGATCCGACCTTTAAAAAATCGGAAAATCCAATCGCATCAACAAAAAAATCACCCCAAAACAGCACCAAACGCTAACGCAATTGATAAACAGTACACTGCCTCCGCCAAGTCCTCCGCCCTCGACCAGGTCGCCAAGGCCCTCGCCTCCCTCGGCCAGACCCTCAAGAACGACCGCAAGCTCACCACCATCATCGGCGCCCCGACCCTCACGACCGCCGACAAGCAGGAGGTCGTTAACGAGCTGCAGAAGCTCGCCGGCGGCTCTGATAAGGGTGACATCCTGAAAAACTTCCTCAACACTCTTGCCGAGAACAACCGGTTGGGTGCTCTTGAGGGTGTTTGCGAGAAGTTCGGTACTCTTATGGGTGCGCACCGTGGTGAGCTTGAGTTGAATATCACCAGTGCTCAGGTATGTCTTTTATGCGCAGTTTGTGAGGCTTAAGGGTGTGGAAGCTAATGAATGTAGGACCTCGACAACAAGACCATCTCTCGTCTGGAGAAGGCCGTCACCAAGTCTGAGTACAGCCAGGGCAAGAAGCTCAAGGTTGTCACCAGCGTATGTCCTTCCAATCTCCCCCTATGTGAAAAGTTGATGCTAACCCCTGCAGGTTAACCCTGACCTCATTGGCGGTATCATCGTCGAGGTTGGCGACCGTACCATCGACCTCAGCGTTTCTGCCAAGGTCGCCAAGCTCAACAAGGCTCTTACGGATGCTGTGTAAATTAGATTTTATGTACCGACTTATTATTTATCAAATTAAGCCGGCACCTTGAGTTGTCACGGTGCTTTTGAATGATGGATATAGATTACTTCTAAATGGATTTTCTGTTCGTGTTACCAAGACCCGGGATATCTCAGCTATACATAATACTCTTAAGAAGCCGAGAAAACAGTGAATGTACTTCTACTACTCCCCGAGCTTAACAGTATATTCCAATTTCTTTCCTTGGACTTTCTTCCTACCTCTTACATCTTCCCCACGCCCAGTGTTACATGCCGTACAGCAAAGCAAATAACGCAGTTCCCCATAAGCCACGTTCAGAGAAAGTGGTCTCTAGTGCTGAGACAGAAAACCTCTAGGATATCCTTGCCTGAGACTGAACTCCTTTTTGAGTTCATTCCGAATCAGGATGAAACACGACGAATTGTCCCACAGGCTGAATTTATGGCGACCGTAACTACAGCTCTGTGGTAAGTCGGCTTCGTTTTAATTGGGGGTATGATGGTATAGTGATACCTTCCTTGCAATTTCTGATAATTGCTTTCCCAATCAATTGCACATATTTGAACTCTTCTCATTTCGTCATCTAAGCAGGCGAGCGTGTCAAAAACATCCAGATCCATCTCTTAAGAGTTCAGAATGCCTGTTAAATGCCAGAAACCTCTGGCATCCTAACGCCTTCAATCTTGCCTTGAATCATGATGCTTTATCCAAAGTGAGGACAAAGACCTCAAACATTTAACAGACAACGAGCAACAGAATCATGTTAGCAGTATTATTATGATACATGGCCACATCAAGAAGCACCTGGAATGAACTTTGCGAATAGGGACCCTTATGCCAACTGAATTACGGTTCATGACCGTTATTTTGAGAACTCAGACTGCGGGCACCATGGGGTCCACTCAAAATCGGACCTATGTGACATTTCGCCGGCGTTCATGGTGCATGGCACATGCACTTTTCGAAAACCGCTCTTTCGACTGTGAGATCTCGTTCGATTTCATTTTATACTATCGTGGGAAATCGCTCGAAAACCGCCAGTCACACTGATCCGGGCTTATGGTCTAGAATTGGATGAGCATATTCGTCAACTCCGGTTTTACATACGACTGGGACGGTTCATATCAAAACCGCCACATGTCTCTTAAAAGATTCTACGTGTTATGAAACATAACATCGATTATTTTCGTGCCCCTGAAAGACTCTATATATCAGTTCCAACAGAGAATGGCTTATGGAAGTTTCTCTGATCAATCCCTATGTTAAGACACTTGTCAGCCAAGCGAAGTTGTCTACATTGGCGGCAATTATGAACACTCAGACTTGACAGTTGCAAACCATGGATCTCTCAGCACAGCCGAGTTACTATCAGGCATGGGACAAGATAGCGACATGCTTGTTGCGTTACCCAGAATTGGACATACCCTAGCGAAAGCCGCAGGAGACATGTAAATCGGACAAATTCCACCAAATAACCTGTCGAGTGAGCACTGAGAATTATATCCTATACCCCATAAACCTTGAGTTTGGTCGACCGTCCGCCAACTGAGAAATGTGAGGCTCTAAAAATGAACTGGCAGATGATGATAAGGACACACAGCCCAATTTCTAATACCTACAAGAAGCGAGGATTGCTGCGTAGGTAATCCTAGCCTCTTCATACGCATCTGTATGTCATGGTCAGTGTTTGTCTGGTTGATGGGAGCTTTGTTGATATACAATACCCAATAAGCGAGGCGTCAGCAACCGTCCATGCGGTTTTACTTTAATATACGCTGATGGCCATTTTGATTATGCTGCAGCGACCAAATCTAAGTTTGGGGTGTCTGCTACAGGCAACGCATTACTGGGACATTTCAACTAGACCCCGTGGATGCAGAAACTTTTTGTTCTCACAATACGCGTATACGCCACTGAAGATAGGCAAAGGCTTGATGGCCCCATACTCTCCATCCCCGGGCTTGATGGTTGGACGTTTCACTGGCTCGTTGGTTTCTGCCCCTTCGTCGACGACCACCGTCTTAAACAATCACATTGTTGTTCAATGGTTTCACATCCGTTACCGAGCCTCCAGGCTGCACATTCCCCTCGAGAAGATGCCGGTAGTGGATGAGTTGAGCAGGTTCGATGGGCGAAACTTACATAAAACATAGAACAATATGTTCCATACAAATTTATGGCGTTGTCCAGCAAGCAGACATGCTATACCTACTGCAGGCTTGATGAAAAATTCGTGGACACGCACAGCAATGAAAAATGTTGCATCCAGATTTGCTATCACCTAATGTGGCCTCGTGCACTTGCGCTCCGCTGGGCAATTGAAACCTTCCATATCAATGGCTGATGTACTCTTGGTATGGCCACTAGGGCTATCCTACTTCAGTTATGCTCAGGGATTGCTCGTTTTCTTCACTGGTCTTAAATATACACACTAAGACTTGGAATTTCTAATATAAAAAAAAAAGAAAAGAAAAAAAAGAAAAGCAAGATATAATTCGGAGAAAACGACACCGCAAATATCCATAACATTCGGTGTTTGCTTGAGCCTTTTACAGTACCGCCTCTTACGGTACATAATACGACAACGAGCATATGGCAGGATGATCCAGAACCCTAGCCACCTGTCGCCGTCACAGTGGTAATGTCGATATATACTTCAAGCTACAATACATAGTCACAACATATGAAATCTTCTGTCATAAAGATACAGCATTCTGCAAGGAAAAGCGTCAGCAACCGTCCATGCTGCTGCTCTGCTTCAGGATGTTTTAGTGCAATGATTTTCTGGGAAAATGTATCTACCCATGAAGTGGAGAGAAAAGCACGAAGACCCGGAATGTGTATGTCATGGGGGCAATTGGGTATATCACAAGGGCAGTTGTTAACGATCCACGACAGAAACACGGTACGATGAGTGCGATCTTTCGAAGACTCGTCCCTTGTGCATGCGCTGGACTTGGAGTATGTTCAGACTAGCCAGTTGATACGCGCGTTATCACGAGCCTACCACGCAAATTGGCGACCTCGGATTCAAGAGTGAAGAGAGGTTGCTCGAGATGGTATGTCTTGTCATACGCAAATCTGCCACGACAACCGTGTCTAGTGCATCCTTAGGTGTGACTTTACGTCCAAACCAACCAAAAGAAATCACGACTTAGTGCTACAGTATGGGGATGTGGTATGTCCATTTGCCGTGAAAGCTGCCCACTGCGTTCCCAAGTACCTTGGGTTGTCTCTTCGGGATCGGGGAAGCCCTGGTAGCGAGTTTTCCGAGTCGTGATGATCTACTACCTACGTTAGCCATCACCAAATGGATTTCTGTATTCAAAGCAGTCGAATGTGGATGCTTCTGATAAACCTCGAGACTTGAGTTCAGTCTACTTCTGAGCCCCTGTCTCGTGGAATTGCAAGTCGCGACAAAGATATGGAAGAAGCATGCCTTCGTCTGTGGCGCATGCACAATAGCATCAACGGATATTTCCATTGAATACTCTATTGATGGCAAGATGAATTAGCCAAAACAGCCTTATCATGCTACCGGCACGCTAAGATTCTCATTTTCGGTTATGGTCAGGGACTGCCTGTCTGTTTGTTTCCTAGGCCCCGACACGAAAACTATCATCGGTGTCTTCAATAAACTTTCCCTCCTGAATCGCGTTTGCGACTAACATTGGGACTATCATGTGGCTGGCTTATTGTGACGAGATCCCCCTCCCGAGATCTCGCGCGCAAGCTGAACCACCCCAAAACACCTGGTAATGCTAGTAAAAAGCCTGAGCGCAGTGACTAAGACAATTCACGCGGCTATCGACAGATTCTGCAAACGCTTCATGATGTCAAATTAAGCTATGCTGACTATGGCGTTACACGGGTCAAGCATGGAGCGTGCCCTGTCTACGTACGGAGTATATTTATCTATATCGACTACGGACCAATGAACATGACTTTCAGCCCGAGAATGAACGAACTTTTAGTTTTTCTTTTTCTTTTCTTTTCCTTTCTTTTCTTTTTACTTATCGTCTTATGCGCGCAGACCTAATCGTCCAGTGGTGAGCATTGCTGATTCAGTTACAATCTATTGGAGGATATTGAGAAAAAGGAGATTGTTTCAGCTTTCTGGATCCCAGTGTTTGCTTCTATTGCCAGGTTTGGAGGTGAAATACCGCATCCTCAGATTGGTGTCTCGCTCCAGGAACCATGGAGCAAGCCCATTCAACCCCACGCAGTCGACAGTCTATTCGTCCCATTCTAAAACACCTTGCAGATGCTTGCAGACGAGTAGTCAAAGGCAGTTCGCAGATATTCAGGTATAATTTGTTCAAACAATTCAAATATTGTATCTTCGATACTCAAGGGCATGCATTCAATCTAATAATAAACCCTATTAAATTCAACCAAGTATTGCAAACAATGACGCTGATAATGCTATGACAAATTATTTATTACACTCCACAACCAAGGATGGGTTCCGGTCCAGTAGAATCGTCACGCGGTGACTTCAAACACAATTGCCTCGCAGTCACCGAGAAACTCGCAGCGGTGGTTGAGCAGAGATCACAATGGTAAAACAAAAAGAAAAGGACCCGAGACCATCTGGCGCACGATCGACGCGACTCAGCATGACAATAACGGGGACGAAAAAGTTTTTTTAAAAAAAAAAAAGCAGAAGAAAGTAATCAAACCAACCAATAGAACCGATTGCTCCAAACCATATCCGCGTCCGCCCTGGTATGTGATAATAAAGGTAATAAAAAACATATGTTTATAACGGCGGTGATGTTTTATCTCGTCATGGTGATGGTTGGCAGCCGTGATAAGTGGTGGTAAAAAAGAAGATAAAAAGACGTCTCATCCTGTCGAAGTCCCCATTCCCAAGCGTAACCGTTTTTCTATATGCATACACGGGCTGCCAACCAACCAGCCAGACTCGTAATCATGAAGAATTAGTGGTAGTACCCTGGGGGCCTCGTTGCTCGTCTCTGCCGAATAATCGGCGAGAGGCTGAAAAAGGGTTTCCTAGATAGTGTTAAAAAAAAAAAAAGCTATTTCCTCCCACCCTGGGACGTGTAAATGGAATGTATCTCACCTGCGGGACGAGATTCGCCATCACGCTGTCCGGTGTTCTTCGAATTGTCTTCCACAGCGCCGGATTCGCGAGCTTTTAATCGCTCTTCGGCCTCCCGGATTCTCTGCTGCAATTCTTCCAATTCGCGGTTCTGGATCATCATCTGCTGTCTCCTAGACGGGGGAAAGCACCATGTTAGCCAACCATCCATCATCTATACGAAATACGACTTTGCGAACGACTTACTTTTGGTCGATGGTCTGCGAAAGATGAGAGACATCGGAATCCAGCGAGAAGGCGCTGTCAAGGGATGCTGAGAAGGCCTGGGCCATGGTCCTGCCATGTCTTTGATTAGTTGCGCTTGTTCCTGAGCGATCGGAGAGATGGGGAAGGGGAGACTAACGATGTAGGACGGCCACTGGGCTTCCACTCTTGATCTGCTTCCGACATTTTGCTGGATTTCTGTGTGGACTTGTCTGTGTTTTGTTCGCGGGAAGAGGTAGTTGAAGCGTGATTGATCGAGGGCGAAGGATTCGGAGAAGAGTTGACGGAGAAGTCGTTGTTGCGCCTGCTGAGGGGTAAACAAAAAGGGGAGGCGGCCAGGGAGGGTCAACGGAGTGAATCACAATATGCGAGATCGCCAGTCAATTGTAGAACTGATGGTTGTCTGAGAGGAAGTTGGATGGAATAAAGCGAGGAAAGGATTCGAGAAGAGGAATAAAAAGGAGGAAGAAAGTTGTGAGAGGAAAGACCGTAGTTGGCGTTGTTGGATGGACAGACGGAGAGACGATAGCTCCGATCGGAGACAGAAAGGAGCACCAACAGCAGCAAAGAACAGAGACAGAGCAGGAGCCAGGGGTTTGTTTGATATCGGCCTTTGTCTGAGAAAAGAAAGTGAAGAAAGACCCGAAATGAGCGAAATAATGAGAGGCAAAATGTCAACGGCTGTACAAAATAGCAGTAATAGTCCAGTATAGGAGTTGGGTTCATTAGCCCAGTCTATAGTCCCCTCTATCTTTTGATTATTTTAATATGACTCTTATTATTATCAGCAGATCCCCGCTGCAAGGAGATTATTCTTTTGATTCATTGTATACAGAGTCTAGTAGTCTGGAGAGTGTCTACAGAGTATTCTATAGTACTATAGTATACCCCGAAGTATACACCTGGTGTTATATTGACCGTTATATCGTTTCAAGTGTAGTATCAGACCCGATTCGCCAGATCCCGTGGCAATAATGCGTCTATCCAAAACAAGACAGCAAAAGAGAGCAGAAATGAGGGTGGAAAGGGGGAGCGAATGCGATTCTACCCCTGACGCCGTGGGGTTCAGGGACCGATATGATCGAGCATCCAAATACTCTCTGTACCATGTACATACAAGTAACTATACAGAGTACAACCACTGTGTTCAACATTGAATGTGAATTAACTGACCAGTGCATCGCCGGAGAATATCCCATCTAGCATCGCATTGCATTGCCGTAAGCTCACGACAAACTGGCATATGCTGTGTCCGATATACTCCGGAGTAGGGAGATTGGTACCTGACCCCAGTGTGATTGCGATGCTCTCCCGGTGGGCCCTTCCACACTGGGGCAATATTGTAGTTCATAGTTTGGGAAGTTCCAATGCAGTAGTGCCCTCACACTCATGTGCATTTACCGATTCTTCTCTAATACTCATACTCCTTTTAGTCCTTCGTATGTATCTCTAGTGAATGCCCCAGCAACCATGATCTACGGTCACGTGGCACGCGTCATCTGCTGTGCAACATCCTGTAACTTACAACGTAATACTGTTACCAGCAACACCATCACGTGATGTTCTCATTTTCTGCGGATTCTTTCGGGGAGAGACCAGCAAGGCGAATGAGAGATCCCCATCGCTGCTTCCCCCGTTAATCGCGTTGTCGCCATCACTTGCGTCCTGCCAGCGCTTTCATTTCTCGATTTCTCTTTCTCCCTACCAATACCGTTTCATTTGACCTTTTTCGACGCGTCTTTTTGGCCATTTCTCCGTCTTCCCAGACCTGTTTCTGCGCAGTTGGTCTCTCTGGTTATGCAAACCACTTTGCGCCTTTAGATCTCCGACCCTTTTATTTTTTATTTATTTTTTTTTTTTGGCTTTAATTTACATCGCCCATTAATTTGTCTCTTTTGCATCTCCATATTTTGAAACCGTCCAAATTTCCCTTTTTTGATATAACCAAATTCCTCACCGTGGCCCCCATCCCCAAGCTCTCTTCCCCCAGTGGCCGACCGGGCGGGCAATGGGGGATGCCTCCTCTGTCGGCGTACACGCCTTTTGAATCGCTCCTCTTCTTCCAGTCCCTCGCTTCTCACGATTCGTGTCCTTCCAATTTCATCTCCATCTCCGATCTTCTCCGCAATAACCCTTTTGTTCGCCAGAATGTTGCTTACGATGCCGACCGTCTATCTCCGGAGGCTCTCGAGGACCTCTATACGACCTTGATGCAGGATGGCCTGGAGACCGCTGCGACCGGGCCAAATGGTCACGCTACCGACCCCTCCACAAACCTTAAGAAGCGCAAGATCTCCAGTCCTCGACCAGATGGTTTGGTAGATGGCGTCGCACGCCATTCCTACATAGTCCCCGAACTAGTCGCACACCTCTACGCCAAGTACAAGGAGCTTGTTACGAGGGAGATCAGGCAGGAGGAAAAGCGCTACCGGGAGATCAGAGATGACATTGAGCGGATACACAGGGAGGAACAGCAATCTCCGCCGGTCCCCGTTCAGCCGCCTCAGGCCCAAGTGCCCGCTGGTGGTCCGGAGCCGATGGATGTGGATGTCAAAGAGGAAGAGAAACAAGTCCAACGACCGGTTGTGGAAGTCCCAGGACAAATTCCGACCACTCATATCGAACAGCAGCAATCACCCCAATTACCACCACAGCCCAGACAGCCGAACATCCCCCAACGACATCCATCGGCCCAGGAACCGTCTACCGCGCAGCGACCATCTGTACAACAGCCCCAACAAGGCCAGCCTTTGCCGGATCCGGTGCCACAGTTGCAACAACTACCGCAGCCGCCGCAGCCTGTTTCGCATGCGCAAACGGTTCATCCGCCTCCAGCACCGCATATCAATGGGAAATCACCTGTTCCACCCCAACCGCCTGCTATTACACCTCGCAATCCTCCGAATCAATTACCTCCCACATCTCATATTCCCCCAGGAGCCAGCACCAACCCATCTCAGCCTGCGGCACCAGCCGTGCAAGGCCCCAATGGATTAAATGTGCCAGGCGCCACTTTCGCAACCCCTTCTGTTCCTACTCCAACCCCACAAAAAACCGCTCAACAGAGTACCCCTACTGCTACACACGCCAGAGCTCCTTCCCAACTCCCCCCTCAACCCGCATCTGGCTTTCAACAATGGCCGCTGAACGCGCCTACTCATACGCCGCAAACTCCCTTCCCTCCCCATGGAACTCCTCAGTATCCGAACACAAATGCTGCTAGAAGACCAGTTCCAACACCCCTTCAGCAAATACCACAGACCGAACCTGGGAAACCGTATCCACGAATCTTTTCGCCAGCATTACCGACAACACCCGGACCTCGTACCCAAGTTCAAACGCCTCTTACTGGCCCCCTTGGTGGTTTCGAGACACCCCGCGCTGCTTCATTTTCAGACTCGCGCAGTTTCCACCAACACCGACTATCAATTGATACATCTGGCTCCGCCACGCCCTGGAAGAGACCTCCCCGTTTGAGCATCCTACAGTCTCCCGGGTCGCCTGACCGGCCGCGACCAGAGGATGTGAGTCCAATCAGTGAAAGGGCGCCGTCACCCGAGTTTTCGGAACCAGCACACCGTCGGAGAACGCGGCCAGTAGAAGACAAGAAGGCAACCAAGACAGAAAGGTTCACACTATCTGGCCGAAAGAGGCGTGATGAGAGCACACCGTCGTCAAGGAGCCGGGGGCGTTCGAGATCCGTATCACAGGTCAAAGTTAAGCATGAGATGCCCAGCACCCCAGCGGGTGTGCCAGATGCTGTCGAGGCAGAGCCACGTGGTATTGCTGGACGGAAATCTCAAGATGAGCGTTTAGGAAGAGGTCGCCCCAAACGCAAGCGTGATACGAGTGAGCCAGGAGAACTGGAGAGTTTCCACGCCGAAATTAGTCGCCTGGACTCGTCGCAGGCTGGCCAGTACGTCTTGAGCGCACGTAACTTTCCGAGAACCGGAGCGCCCATCATGAACGATGTCACGATGCACAAGCACGCCTCAATCTTCACCAAGCCATTGACGGAACGAGATGCGCCAGGCTATCGAGATCTCATATACCGGCCGCAGGACCTAAAATCGATCAAGTCCTTGATCCATCAGGGAAGCAAGGCTGTAAACGCTGCTACAGAAGCTGCCAGTACGCCTGCCGCAGACGGGGAGTCGCCAGCTCCGTCGGGGACGCCTTCAAAGAATGCAGTGCTTATGTTACCCAAGACAGAGGATGTCATCCCTCCAAAGGCGGTGGTCAATTCAGCTCAGCTTGAGAAGGAGTTGATCCGCATGTTCGCGAACGCCATCATGTTCAACCCGGTTCCTGAACGCGGGTTTGGTCCGGGGTTTCCCATGATTAGCGAGAGTGGATCTAGAGAAAGCACCCAGGTTCCTGAAGCAGATGAAGGAGGCATTATTAAAGATACCGTGGAGATGTTTGAAGATGTTGAGCAGGCGGTCACCCGATGGCGTGCAGCGGAACGGACCGCGGATGAATTGGCCAGCAAGAGCATCCTTTCGCTTCGCAGAGCGAGTGACCCTAATAACCCGGACGGTGTGGATGATGCGAAGGAACCATGACCATGTCGGGCTTTGTGACGAGTTAAGATCTTATGTAGTAATATTGTCTATTCACTGTTGTATTATGCGGACAGACATTGAAGACCAACCAACTCCTGTTCCCATGATGTCTAAAAAACATAACGACATGACACTTTTTTTTTTTTTTTCCGTAACCTAAAATTCCCATCAAGCAGCCCGAACCGCCTGCTCCGGCCTCGTCCTTCCCAGCCCATCCTTCGCATAAAAGTCCATCGGATAAACTCCATTATTCGCTTTATCCCAACTCTCCCTCACTCCCAACGCAACCAACGCCTCATACGGCGTTAGCAATGGTTTCGGAAACGCATACCCCCAATCAATGCTCAACCGTGGACAAGCAATCTGCACCCAACACTCGACATCGGGCATTGACGCGAGTTTCCCAGGGAAGATCTCACTGAGCAATAGGTTGACGAAGGGAATCCCTCGCTCGTTGAGATGGTTCTCGATTATGGCCATAGTATTGGGGTTTCCCTGCCGTCCTAGGGCACCGAGGATAATACCCCATTTCTTTGCGGACTTGGCGGATCCAATAGCGTCCCGGCGGAGCGTGTGCATTTCATCATGATAGTACGTCTCTCGGGAAAGAGTTCGCGAATATGGATCATACCGATACGCCGGAATAGCCGGATTATGAATCATCGCAGACTCAAGATGGAACCGGCCATCACCCAAATACAGCAACAAATCGATCTCATCCTTCGACAGCGTCGGACTCGTACACCCCAGAATCTCACCTTTTGAGAGCGGCGTGATCTGTGGGATGATGACTTTGTAGCCCGCGCGCTCGAGGACAGGTTTCAGGCCGTGCAGAGTTGCGTTGAACTGGATGGTTCCTACTGTTGCGATTGTCTTGGGGGCTTGGAAGTTGCGTTCTAGTGTTGCGAGGAGGTGGCTTGTGTCGATGGAGATGTCGACGAAGATGTATAGCGTTTTGATCTTAGTAACGTCGACAGGGATTAAGCAGGAGTGCGCGTAGTGCACCAGTAAATCGCAGCCTAGAGCTCGCGCGGTGTAATCGTCGATACAGCATGCGCCGTAGGTCACGTCGCCCATGATCAATGTTTCTGTGCCGGGGCAGAATTGTGTGAGGATATCTGAGATGGTCGTTGCGAAGATGAGAAGACCTTCTGGGAATTGGAGGGCAATGCGCTTTGCGCCGAGGGTGCGGATGCGGTGAATTGTTTTGTGGATTTCGAAGGAGTAGTTTTTTGGGAGGAGGGTGATTGCGGAGTTGATGTCGGGGTCGTTGAGAATTTCGGGGGGTACTTGGTTTAAGGTTCTTGGTGTTCGCCGGGGTGTGGCTGTACGGTGTTAGCAGGGAGGTCCTCTGGTAGATAGCTTTGAGGTGAGGTGATTTACCCTTCTGGACGGTGGTGGTTTCGACATCATTCTGGGATCCATTTTGTTGCGCCTGCGCTTCTGCGGTTCGTCTTCCGACGAAGCGCTTCTTGGGTTGACGCAGGTTGTGGTTGTGGTTGTTGTCTGTCTCTGGGGCTGTTGAACCACTCATCTTGGATTTCTGGGTTGTATTGATGACCTCAATTGCTATCGCTCTTTTTGCAGACAATAAAATTCAGGTGGGATGATAAGAATTTCGGATCGCTGACTCAGCAGTCATGTGCCTTTATCGCTCCCCCGCATTTTCTCGGCTTGACATCAGAGTAGATCAGCTCATAGAGGCGGGTGCTGTCTCGGACAATCTAAATTTCCCTCTTCGTGTGCTCTTACTCTTTTATTTCTAAACAAGATGCTACTCCGTCCGCGATTGAGACCATTTACCCCTCTCCGAGCTCTCCCTCGAGCTCTAGCTCCACGTCACTATGCGACAGAGTCGCGGTTAACCTCGGACCATGTTCGCATCGTCGAAGTAGGCCCGCGAGATGGATTGCAGAACGAGAAGAAGACGATACCCATGGAAACCAAGTTGGAGCTTATTAGGAAGCTGGCGAGAACGGGCATGACTACCATTGAGGCTGGTTCTTTTGTGCCTGCGAAGTGGGTGCCACAGGTACGATGTACTGACTACATTCACTATTTACGTAGACGGAGGAGGGAAAGAGAGAGATTATAATGACCTACCAACTGATTTTTGCGCGTATAGATGGCTAGCACGGCAGAGATCTGTGAACAACTCCTACGATCGCCGCCAGAGTCGCAAACAGCGATTGCATACAACTACCTCGTCCCCAATGTCAAGGGGCTTGAGAATCTCATAAAAGTCATGGAAGCAAATGCATCGGACATACCACCCAAATCTACTGCCTCCACAGAAGTCTCCGTCTTCGCGGCAGCAACGGAAGCGTTTTCCAAAGCAAATACGAATTGCACAATTGAGGAGTCATTAGAGCGCTTCCGACCTGTTATCTCACTAGCAAAAACCAAAAACATCAGAGTCCGTGGATATGTCTCTGTCGCACTGGGCTGTCCATATGAAGGACCTGATGTGTCGCCAACCAAGGTGGCCGATGTCACCGCTTCGCTTCTTGAGATGGGGGCTGACGAGGTGTCTGTTGCTGATACCACGGGGATGGGAACCGCCCCTCGTACGGCCGAGCTCTTGCGCGCTCTGAAGGCGGCCGGTATTGCGAATAATGATCTTGCGCTTCATTTCCATGACACATATGGCCAGGCACTGGTTAACACGATTGTTGGGTTGGAGAATGGGATTCGGATCTTTGACAGTAGTGTCGGTGGTCTTGGGGGCTGTCCCTATTCTAAGGGTGCGACTGGGAATGTGTCGACCGAGGATCTTATCCATACCCTTCATGGTCTTGGTATGCATACCGGTATTAACTTGGAGGAAATGTCGAAAATTGGATCGTGGATTAGCGAAAAGCTGGGGCGATTCAATGAGAGCCGGGCTGGTAAGGCGACGTTTGCACGGCTTTAAGGGTGAGATTGCACATACAACATTGAGGAATGTTAATCTTTTCGTTCGTCATTTTCCATGATCTCGAATGGTGTCGAATGGAATGTTTTCTGTTGATGGTTGACACCTTACCCTTACTAAGCGTGCATGTACGATTAATCATATTCTATGCAATTGTCCATTCTTTTCGTCACAACACACTGCCGATCCTCTATTATCATACAATACCTCATTTTGCGTATATACATCAAGTAGACCACCTGCATTCACCACAGCTCAGGCAGCAGTATCAGGACCACTAAGCTGCGCTCCAAACAATTATGCGATCATAACCAACGCCATATTATGCCAAAACAATATCCCAACAGGCTCTGTTGAGCATCAGCTCAGCCCGGAGAGCCAGCAGTGGACGCTAGCTCAAAAGTCCGTAACCCGTCCCCCATAGCTCCAATCCCCATCAGAACCCCATCTCAACGGCTCGTTCTTCGGACCTCCAACCTCACCCGTCTTCGGGTTCTTTTCGCCCTCGAATTCCGGCTTCACGCCAACGGGCGCATCAGGGTGGGACTGGGCCTCGGAAGCAGGTGACTGGTTGACTTGCGGGGTGCTGAATGCACCGGTGGACTTTCGCTGAAGGTCTTCGAAAATTTCCTGCTCTTCCTTGGGAAGTTTTGGGGGTGCCGGGCCACTCTTGAATGCGAACGGTTTGTCGGCGGAGAGGATCGGAGAGGTGGATAGCGGGCGAATAAGGAAGGATCGCGATGCGATAAAGGAGGTGAGAGCGCGAGGGAATGTGAGGAATAGTGCCATGGTCGTAATCCTTTCGTTCAAGAGATTAGGTATGTATGAAGTTGAAACTGAGTGGTAGTGAAGTGGCGGGAGATGGATGGGGAGAGTAAGATGACTCAGTTATCCCGATAAGGATAAGCGGTCGAAGCCCCGATATCGCGGGCTTTTTCTCAGCCCGTCCTTTTGATTGTATCCCACGCGGGCTTTCTTGGTACATTTTGGGGGTCTGCTACTTTTTAAAGAGCTTCTTTTCTCTTGATATTCTCTCTCTTTTCAATCCCTTTTCTTTTATTTGTCCGTCTATTGTTGTCCAGTTACAATGGCTGCTATGCGTTTGGCTTCGCGGCGGGTTCCTCTCGCCAGGAAGCTCGTTCCTGCAATTGAATCACCTCTTCAGCGCCGTTTTGCCTCGACACAGGCCAAGGTGAGTTCCTTCCAAGGCGACTTGTATATTCTGGACAATGCTAACGGTGATGAATCTACAGGATGCATTGCCCAACGCCGACCCATCAGCCAATTCGGCGACAGCGGCTTTGGTTAACCAACGCGCTCCCTTCATGGTGCCTACCTACGTCCGTCCGCTTCCCGTGATGATGAAGGGACAGGGATGCTATCTGTGGGATATGGAGAACAGGCGATATCTGGACCTGACTGCTGGTATTGCCGTCAATTCGCTTGGTCACTGCGACCCAGAGATTTCGCAGGTCATCGCTGAGCAGGTGCGTCTACGTTCAAACTGTCGCAAGCCGTTGTTTCTCGTTACTAATGGAAGAATGACCTAGGCTGAGACCCTCATCCACGCCTCGAACTTGTACCACAATTACTGGACCGGTGCCCTCAGCGAGCTCTTGATCCAGACCACTGTCGACTCCGGTGCTATGCGTGACGCATCGCAGGTGTTCATTTCCAACTCGGGAACCGAAGCCAACGAAGCTGCGATCAAGTTCGCCCGCAAGGTCGGCCGCTCCCTTGAGCCCTCGGGCGAGAAGCATGAACTCGTTTCTTTCCACAACTCGTTCCATGGCCGTACCATGGGCGCTCTGTCCGCAACCCCAAACCCCAAATACCAGACTCCGTTCGCTCCTATGATTCCGGGTTTCAAGTACGGCAATTATAATGATGTCGCGCAGATCCAGTCACTTGTTACGGAGAAGACGTGTGGTGTGATTGTGGAGCCTATCCAGGGTGAGGGTGGTATCAACATGGCTACCCCCGAGTTCCTGATTGCTTTGCGCAAGCGCTGTGATGAGGTCGGTGCCGTCCTGATCTTTGATGAGATTCAGTGTGGTCTTTCTCGGACTGGTACTCTCTGGGCTCATGCCCACCCTTCTTTGGCGCTTGCCTCTGGCCAGGCAGCACATCCCGACATCCTCACCTCCGCCAAGGCTCTTGGTAACGGTGTTCCCATTGGCGCGACCATCATCTCTGGCAAGTCGGTTGGCGAGCACATCAAGACCGGCGACCACGGCACCACTTTTGGTGGTAACCCGTTGGCCTGCCGTGTCGCTCACCACATCGTCCAGCGCCTCGCATCTCCGGTGACGCAGAACGCTGTCGAGGTGAGCTCCGCCAAGTTTGTTCTGGGCTTCCAGGAGCTGCAGAACAAGTTCCCCGAGGTCATCTCGGAAATCCGCGGTCGGGGTCTCATCCTTGGTCTCCAGCTCAACAAGGAATACAGTGCCAAGGCAGGCGAGATTATTGGTGCTGCTCGTGAGAGGGGGCTTCTTGTCATTACTGCTGGTGACGGCTGCTTGCGATTCGTTCCTCCTCTGAACATCGGGGAGGAGCAGATAAAGCAAGGATTGAAGATCCTGGGAGAGGCTTTTGAGGCGGTTTTTAAGTCGTAATTGCATGTACAATGAAAGATTATGCATTTTTTTCGGGTTTATTTAAATCAAAAAGCATGTGATTTATTATTCAGGCATCCAGGCATCAGCTGTCAGCAGTGGTCACGAGCCCAACTGCCGTTTATCGACGGCCGCATTCATTCGTCTTCCTTCCTCCAATTGTTCGAGATGCTCAGCAGTGATAAAATGATGTGTCGCTGTGGATCGTGACGCATTTTCCTTCTTTACTTAGACCGATGATCCTATATAAATAAGCGCCTTTCTGCCAGTTGTAACTTTGCGTACTTATCTCTCGTCACCTGCGACTACATCATCAATCTCCGCATTGGCATGCCTCCAACATCAGACACAGAGGAAGCACCCATGTTACCTCTCCCCGGCGCTCCATCTAGCTCATGGGCTCGATTCCGTGAGCGCTTCAAAGCCATCTTCAGTGGCGCAGACCCGCGCGTTTGCATCACTTTCTGGCTGTTTGGTAAGAACTGATCGCCCATTCAGCTCGACACTTCAATCCAAATCACAGCTTCTAACCGATATATTGCCTTTGGTCTTCCTGCGCAGGTCTGATAAACAATGTCCTCTATGTGATCATCTTATCCGCCGCACTGGACCTAGTCGGCCCCGGCGTTCCCAAAGGCGTTGTCCTACTCGCAGATGTCATCCCCTCGTTCGGAACGAAGCTTATCGCTCCATACTTCATCCATGTGGTTCCATACTCGACGCGAATCATGATATTTGTTGGTCTTTCCGCGATAGGCATGCTGCTTGTTGCGCTGACGCCGGATTATACCGATGGCGGATCAATCTCAACCAAGCTAGCGGGTATCGTTTTGGCTAGTTTGTCTAGCGGAGGTGGGGAACTGAGTTTTCTCGGCTTGACGCATTTCTATGGACACTTTAGTTTGGCTTCCTGGGGTAGTGGGACTGGTGCTGCTGGGTTGGTGGGGGCTGGGACTTATGCGCTTGCGACGACATCGTTGGGGTTGAGTGTGAAATCTACGCTTTTAGCGTCGGCTTGTTTGCCGGCTGTTATGTTGGTGAGCTTTTTTATGATTTTGCCACAGGGTCCGTTGCGTATTGCACCTTTGCGAGCCGGTTATCAGGCAGTTGGCGAAGGGGATGGGGTCGATGAGGAGCGTATTGGTGATGACGATCGGAATGCAATCCTGAACGAGCGCGAAGGACTTCTCGGTTCGTCGATACATTCAGCGGATAGTGGAAAATTGGGATGGCAGAACATCAAGGCCAATCTGCAACGTGTGAAGGGGCTCTTCTTTCCATTGTGAGTACTTTTCTCTTGGCCTGTGCTCCCCTGGATTTTAATATTGACTACGTCTAGTATGCTTCCGCTTCTATTGGTCTACGTTGCCGAATATACTATCAACCAAGGTGTCTCGCCAACGCTACTATTTCCGCTCAAAGAGTCTCCATTCTCGCGCTTCCGTGCCTTCTATCCGGCATATAACGCTATCTACCAAGTTGGCGTTTTTATTTCCCGCTCATCAACACCGTTTTTCCGAATTCACAATCTGTACTTCCCGTCTATCCTCCAGGTCGTCAACTTGGTGCTGCTGACTCTCCACGCATTGTTTGACTTCATTCCCAGCGTGTACCTTGTCTTCATGATCATTTTCTGGGAGGGCCTTCTTGGTGGTCTAGTATACGTCAATACTTTTGCAGAAATTGGTGATCGGGTTCCACCGGAGGATCGCGAGTTTTCCCTTGGAGCAACTACTGTCAGTGACTCAGGTGGTATTTGTATTGCCGGGTTTATTGGTATGGCATTCGAGGTGTGGCTTTGTGATTGGCAGGTCGCGCATGGGAGGGATTACTGTCAAAGGACGTAGCAGTTTAGTTTTAGTAGACGATGAGTACAGAGCATATAACGTAATCGGACAGCGAGCTGGCGGCGGTCCGCCACCATTACCAAAACGCGCTCGCGTATTCGACTAAGTCAACAAATTGAAGCTTTTTAATGCCATACAAATACAGTACATTATATTATTCTAGGTGGTCAATTTGTCTGGACATCTCAACCGATTATGGCCTTCTTTATTGCAATTGCTGCAGCGTGGTAGCCGGCGTGTAGAGATTGAAGTTGAAGCTGCTGCATGATTTGCTGTTGTTCTCTCTCTTTCTTGAGTTTTATCTTGACCTTCTTGACCAGTCAAACTGCCTCCTTCTTGGATAAAGCGTCATGGGGTCTTCTTCTTATCCCTTTTACGCTTATCTGCTGTACGAAGCTGGCGGATTTCTTGTTGAAGCAGAACAGCATTTTGCATTGCAACCTCTGCACCTTTTATAGCCTTTTCAAGCATTCCCTCTGCAACAAATGATGATAATCCTTGATCTTGAAGTGCTTGGAATTCCTTCTTCTGGTGATCCAGCTGGTATAGATTTGCTGGCGTTTGACCAAGATAACGAGAGGAAGAATCGGAGTGCGAAGAAGATGGAGGTGTTGGTGTTTTTAGCTGAATTCGAAGCTTTGAAAGGACCCTTTCTGGCTGCAAAGGAATCAGACCTGTTGATCTAAAGCCACTGAGTATATTTGCTTTAGAAAAAGATCGCTTGTGTATGTGCTCATAGTGCCATAAGAAGTCTCTTTTATCAATTGTTTCATATCCATTTTGAATAGCTTCACGGATCTGCTGGCCATAGTACTGCTTTAATGGCCCAAAACAGCTCACATCAAGCGGTTGAAGCTTATCTGAGGAATGTGGAGGCATATATAGAGGAATTATTTTCTTTGATGTACAGAACTGGTCAAATTCAAGAGTTGCATGGCTGGAATGGCCATCAAGAATTAGGAGACGGTATTGAACAGCAGTCTGTGAAGCAGTATGCTTTTCAAAGACTTCTTGAAGCCATTCAAAGCCAAGATCATGGTTCGTCCAACCATTCTCACTCATACTAATCCGATAGTCCTTGGGAATAGCTTCATACCATGGTGCTTGGTGTATCTTTCCAGCAAAGATAATCTGGGGTGGTAGAACAGTACCAGCAGCATTAGTAGTGACTATAGAGGTCACCCATTCTTTATTGCCTGGCTGGACTGATCTTGCATGAGACCTTCTAACCTCATGGCCACAGACTACCTTTGCAGTTGAAGCTATTCCCATTTGAAAGCCGATTTCATCCATATTATAGATATCCTGTTCGAGGATCCCATACTTTTGTATGGTATTTTGGACCACTTCAAACCATGGCTTTATAACCTTTGGATCCTCGCATTTTGCACGTTGGTAATCATATTTGATGGTGAATTTTGACCGGATATCTTGGTGATGTCGTTGAGTATATCAATTCATCCATCTATCACTGAGGAAAGGGTCTTTAGATGGCTTCATTTTTGCAGCAAGAAGAAGCTCAGCAAGACGACGTACGCTGGCAATAGTAAGAAGAAAGTCACGAGAATCCATGTCTAGAATCCATTTCTTCAGAGTCAACTCCTCTGTATCAGAAAGCTTCCTTGAATTGGCTTCTATCTTGCCACGAGGTTTGACCCCATTAAGACACGTTTTGAAGGTGCTAGGCGCAACATCAAAAGCATTTGCACTTTGCTTTTGATATAAAAAGACCTTTATCAAAAGCTTCAACAGCTAGCTGCATTCTCTTCTCTTTAGATAACGAATCCATGTTGTATAGTACTGAGAATAAATCTTCAATTCGTTGACAGTCGAATACGCGAGCGCTTTTTGGTGATGGTAAACCGACCGCCAGCTCGCTGTCCGATTACGTTAGTGATTTAAGGTACACGCTGGCTTGGCTAACCGTTTTTGGTAAGCTTATTCTTTGGTGGGTACACCCGATCTGTTCGGACATTCGGCACCGAGGCCCGCTAGAAGGGCAATACCAAATGCACCAATTAGCATAATAATGCAATTGAATAAGCAACTACATAAATGTGGACTGCTTACTGTCGGTGGGGTGTCTTATCATTTGACTCAAAGCACAAGCTTTGTTGCCCTGCATCAAATACGAGGTATTAAGCACCATTGCGGCACTTTGGGCACTTAGTTCGGTTATTGTATGCGGATACGAGGGTGACTTGTCAAGTGCTGATAGTCTAAAAGCAAGCATATATTCCTACCCAAATTACGGAGAAGTCTGTCTCTTGAGTGGCTGCATTTGTACAGAACATCTGGAGTAAATGCAGGATGCATCGATTAATGCATGTTATGTAAAGTTGTGCATTGCACAGCCAATTAAAGCCAACACTAAACGAGCCAGTACAAATGACAGTTACACAAGTGCTTGGATAGTGTCCGGTCTCTTAATGGTAGTGTCTCGGAGTGAAGATCCAATGTAGACATCTGTACGGCTAACTATCCTTGTCTGCTCGATTGCTCATTTTGCAAATGCGCCTAGCGGTCAGTCCCAGTACTATTTAGTACTAAAGCCGAGACATGAAATGATCAACCCGATTATCGCGACCCAACAGCTCCATAATTTGGCCCCCTAATCCGGCAGTGCAAACTGCAATGCAAGGCTGACTGAAAAGAGTTTTTGTTCAGTGTCCGTATGAGGCTCTTTTTTGTTGTTAATTTTTCCTTTTCTAATTCGGTTCAAGTCTCATTTGACTCAGTTCAAATAAAGTGATTGACTTCAAGCCACTTGGACTATGCGGTGATGACCTCGGGCTGAGCCATCGCCCCATCTCTATTGCGTGCTTCCCCCGGGGGCCTCACAAAGTGCCTTGCTGGACGTTGGTTTATTTAAACTGCGGAGTCCTGCAGTTTAACTGATCTTGTGCATTCATAATTTTTCATCTTGACTTTCTTTGATTTACTATCACTACCTATACCCGTTGTGCGACGCGGAGGACTACACAAGATGGCGTCGCTAGAACCCATACAGGAGAAATACGACGAAGAGAACATTCACTACAGCCAAGACTTTGACGATGTCCCTCTTTACGCCAATACCGACTACGATGAATACGGTGATGACTATGAACGATGGATGGGAGAGGACCACCCGCTGCGATCATATCCGACCGAATGTTGTCCGGGATTATGGCGATCGGCGGAGGCCCTGAAGTTCGGACGGACGTTCCGACTGGTGTGTGTGGTGGCCATCTTTCTGTGTGTTCCATTGCCTTTGAATATCGACTATGCAAAACTAACAAGTACAGAATTATCACCATCCAATTCCTCGCCCTCCTACCTACAGTCTTCACATATATGCTGCCCAAAGAAGGCGCAGTAGACGACCGACTCCCCGTTCCACAATGGCCCTCTGAATTCACCACCAACCGACCCAGTCACTGTCTCTCATATAACCCCCGCAGCCGCGACGCTGCTCAGTACGCGATCGCAGCTGGTTGCACGGGTGCCAAGGTGGATCTCTGGCTCCATGGTACCGATCTCCTCGTGGGAAGCTCCTTTACAGACCTGGACACGAAGTACACACTGCGAAGTCTGTATTTCGACCCTCTTCAGAAGAAACTGGATGCGAAGCGCAATGCCTCCAAGGACCCTCAAGTCCAGCCCGGGCTGTTCGAGGACCCCTCCCAAAGCTTTGTTCTGGTGCTCGAGTTCAAGACGTGGCAGCACGCTGCGCTTTCTGAGCTAGACTCCCATCTGTATGGGCTACGACAAGGTGGCTACCTGACCCGGATGAATGGGTCTGAGGTGATTCCAGGACCGGTGACGGTGGTAGTCACGGGCCAGGGAGAACATCACGTTCGGGCCGGTCACGACGCGGAATACGACGAGATCTTCTTTGATGCCTCACTGAACGAGCTCACCATGAAGGACTACGACCCTTGGAAGCTCACTCACCGGGGGCCCCCTAAGCCCAACACGCTCCCGACCAACATCTTGGAGCCCAAGAAAGGCCTCTCCGCCGAGGCTCCCTTCTCAACCATCTACAGTGCCACAGCCACCTTCAGTGAATCTGTTGGATTCCCGCGACGGGGCCGGTTCTCGCCGCAACAGATCGCCCTCATCCGGGCTCAGGTGCAAGCAGCCCACCGACGCGGTCTTCGGGTGCGATACGAAGGAGTTCCGCAAGGCCGGGGGCGACTGAGCGACTATATCTGGCGGACTCTGGTCCGGGAGGGAGTGGATATGATTGACGTGGATTGGCAGGCGGCGTACCATCGAGCCTGGTGGCAGCGGTGGTTCACGTATCGTCCAACCAGCGACTAAATGGGTTTTCCTATGTCATGTTTATTGTATTGTACATAACTACGAACCGAAGTATAAATAAGATATGATTCATGTATAATTTCTTTTCCCAACCTGTAGAAATTGCATGGTCCTTGCTGCGTACAGTGAGCAAGGGAACCAAACACGGTTTAATCAGCCATACACACTACCAGAATAGGAAAAGTGCTATCAGACCCACTTCCCCCGCTGCTCCAGCCGATCACCTGCTGATGCCAGGTTGTGATTGGTTGTAGGATGGCGTTGGATCTCGGCCTGCATTTTCCACTCATTCACCGTCGCTTTTTTTTTCTTCTTTTTTTCTTTACATCCTTCTCTTCCCGTTTGCTGAACGGGCACTAATGATGTCTTTATAGTGCACTGATTGCTCTTGAATTCATCTGTTTCTTCCTCTTACTTTCCTCTGTTTACCGAAGCCCGCTTCAGTATCAGGATCTGATCACGCGCGACTGAAGTGTTTGGAGCTCTGCCCAACAGCTCTTTTCCACCGCCATTTCTTTGTGCGTGTCAACGGTCTCCAGCTTCTGTCAGCTCAGAATCCAACACCAACCACCCAACATCACACGAACATTCTCACTTGCTCTAATCCATCATCATTACTACGACTATGATGGAATTTCATCATCCACACTCACAACTGCCGCCGCGACCGGACTCGTCGATATTTGTTCGGCCGCCTCCTCGCACACCAGCGAATCCTCCTGTTCTTCCTCCCAGCGGTTCATATAGCCTCCCTCCCCCCTCTCCTGCTCTTCCTGCTCAGTCGACTGCCTATGCGCCTTACGGATATCGTGAATCTCGTCCGGTGATCTACGAACCTACACAACCATATACTTCTGCGCCTCTTCCTGTGTCGTCTGCATCTGCATCTGTCAGTATTCCGCCATCGCCTCCATACTCTCAGCCGTCACCATTGTTGATGGGTGGTTCAAGCGGTTATCATTTACCGCATGTGAACCATGGGTCGCAGGGGCAGAACCAGAGCCAGAATCAGCGGGGATTTTTTGAAAACAGGGGCTTGAATACAGCGTATAGTGAAGGTAAGATACAGCTATCTTTCTTTCTTTCTTTCTTTTTTTTTTTTTTTCCATCTTTTCTTTATGTTTTGGACTCGTCCGTCTTTGCGCTGTCCTTGCCGCGCGCGATGGGGACATGCCGGGATTGGGGCCCAACGGTTGCATAAATGATGGGCAGCGATCGAGCACCTGCAGCACCACGTCAGACCTTGCACATTGTCCTCTTTTCTGCCCTTGAGTATATGCAAACTCAGCTAGACACACTCTCACGCTCTCTCTCTCATACACACATTCTCTCACTACTACCCAACTACTTCCCTGTTTACATCATCTGTTCTGCACTCAAGATCGACTGCCGAGAGACAGCTCGGGAAGACTATTCCTATTCTGGACTAGTATCGGATGAGCTCCCGGGGTCACGGGTTTGTGGTCACCGCCTGCAGGCCCCGTGACCCATCAGCAATCATCGCCTGTTTTGTTCCTTTTTTCTCCAAGCTTCCATCTTGCTCATTCACGCGTTTCCTTATCTCATGATTCCCCCTTCTCACCCCCTCAATCCTTCACGTCGGAGGTCTTTGGGCAACCTCTCCGGCAGTCCCCTGTTTCCTGGTGAGTTGCTCGCCAATATCAGGCCCGTTCATGCTATCGCGCAGGAACCGCAGTCTGTTGTTTGTGCTTACTCCGTACCCTGCATACCCCATACGCGAGAGTAGTTGCGTTGCTTTTGCTTTTTTTTTTTTTTTTTTACTTCGTTTCTTTCTATTTCTCTGTCTCTCGAGTCTACACGTCTTTGTCTCCATCAGTTCTCCAATTAGTGCGCTGGTGCGCGATTTCAACAAGACTGATCACTGATCGCGCGATCCGCATCACAGGCACAACCGATCATTCCTCCGCGCCGCCAGCCATGAGCAATCGCCAAATGCCGCCGCCATCCCCGCCCCAACATTACCCCACATCCAGAGGACAATCGGCGAATGCACCCTCTCTTCCTACTGCCTTCTTGTCCCGTGAGCAACATCCCAGCAACCCGGGTCATCGTCCCGGGAGTAGCATGTCAATATCCGCCATGCTTGGCTCGGACGCTGACCGGCCACCTCGGGATGTAGGCCCCTTCTCTCGTCCTCCTGTTTCCTCCTCTCCTTCTCCATATACCAGTGCTCCTCCTTCCGCGAATCCCAATGCCATGTCTCCCCCGGCGAGGCCTACCTCCCTCGAATACCCGTTCTTCCGGCGATCCCAGACGCCCGAAAAGTCGTTTGCGAGAAACCACCCTCCAGCTCGTCCATATCGGTCGAGTTCCGGGGGTGTCTCACAGGCGTCTATCACAGAGCAGTCAAAGTTTACCCCTCTGTCGTCTCGTGCGCCGCCATCCTCACAATATCCCGACAAACCTGGCTCCTCCCAACCATCTCCCCCGATTTCTTCAGCAGAAACTGCTTACAACGAGTCGCGTCGCTTGAGTCTTAATGACTCGATCCCCCGGCCCAACAGTCAGCCCCAGATCGAGCACCTCACACGTGGTCCTGGCTACAGTCCACTCTCACGATCGACACTATCCTTGGGGGATGGTGCTGCTGCTCCGGCAGCTGCCCTTGCCACGGCTCAGTCGCGTCCGACACCATTCTCGGAGCATGGCCGATTTGGAAGTCTCTATCCCGACCGCCATTCGGAGGAACTAGCGCAACGGGAGAAAGAGAGAACGATAGGGCAGGAGCTCGATGCTTCCCGATCATCAGGCCACCGGTACAGTGCTTACGGAGATCGAGAGACGTTTGGCCGGCTGCAAGGGCCCGGGGCATGGGAACTTGGTCGCTCGCAACCTCCTTCACCAGAAAATAAGCGCTTCCCTGCACCTGAACATAGTCCGGGTTTCGGATTCGGTGCGATTCAGAGTTACACCAAGTCATTGGGTTCCCAGGCGGGAAGTAGCTCGCGACCTGTTTCTCTATCCGCTCAAACCCAGCCTACGCCTCCACCCAGCGAGCAACCACCTTATCTACACAAGCTACAGACTGAGCCGCCTCGACTGTTCAGCTCCGGTTTATCTACGGGTCCATCACCCCTGCCGCAACCTCCCACAGATGACCGACGCAAAGGAAGTGACGAACTTATGCACCACCGCAACCTCCTCGGAGTTGGTGCAGAAAAGCGTGGTCGCGCTTCGCCCCTGCCCCAAGCAGTACAAGGTGCCTCAGGCCCTGGAGGGGAGTCGAGTATCAAGAATGACTTGGGCCGTGTGTTCTCCGGCATCGGAAGTGGTGTCGGTGGTGTTACCGCCCCGACAGCAGGAAGCACAAACTCCACCCCTATCATGAGTCCCTTCAAGCGAGATAGCGGTACCGCTCGATCCACAAATGGCGATGTCCCGAACGATGAAGCTAAGATTTCTCGGCCTGGTTCCACCACCGGCAGACGATCAAGAAAGTCGCGAGAGGAAGAAGTTCAGTCAGTGGAAGGTGACATGGTTGACCTGCGGACTGGCCTATCGGGACGTGGTCGGCGAGGACGACATGCCCACCACCACCATCATCAGTATGTTTTCTACCTTTTTACTTGTAATGACGAAGCTAACTGTTCTCAGTCACCACCATCACCGGAAGCCAGAAGAAGAGGGGCGGCCGATGTCATCCATGAACTCTTTCCACCGTGCGTCGACGGTATCAGCAGAGGGTAGCTCCGGAGTAAATCCGCATCACCACCATCATCATCACCATCACCATCACCACCATCACCCCTCCCGAACATCAGCTCCTGCCCTCAACACCTTGTCGCCTATGCGTGAACCTCGGACCGTGGTAAACATTGAGTCCGTACGGTCCAGCGTTTCTCATCTTCCACGTCATCACCTCGGTTCGACCCTATACACACCACGTATTGGGGTCCCAACCACCAAATCCCCGTTGGAGAGTGCCAAATTTGGATACACGTCGACGCCCCAGCCACTCCCGCGGTTTGAAGGCAAGGAGAACTGTACGTTTACGGTGCGTGTGCCTCGATACAGGATCGACGCGGCCCGTCGCGAGGAGATTTGTGCACGCCGAGCTTTGTGGGGAACAGGTGTCTACACCGATGACTCAGATCCCGTTGCCGCTGCTATTCACTCGGGATTCATCCGCGGCGCCTGGGGAGAAGATGTGGACGAGAGCTTCCTCGATCTGGAAATCAGAGACACCTACCAGCATGCGCCGCCACCATCGGAGGAAGAACGCGGGTCGAATCAACCCCGGATTCCACCGGTGCCACCCGCGGACAAGGATCTCCACATCACCTTGTTGGTCCTCCCCAAGCTGGACAAGTACGATCAAAGTGTGCTGTTTGGCATCAAGTCGCGGACCTGGGATGGCAATCATGATGGTGTGAGCTTTCAGGTCATGCGCGTTGATTGGGTTGAAGAAGGTGCCGGGCGCGGCGAAGAGCGTGGCGGCGAAGCACGACGGAAACGTCTGCGCAACCTGATGCAGACCGGAAAAATTTGCACCGGGCCTGCAGTGGTTAAGCTGGAGGACCTTCGCAATCACGGTTTAGAAGTTGATGCGCGGTCGAAGATGCGGATGAACAAGGAACAGCGGTCTACCGTGCAGCCAGTCTCATGATTCTACTTTTGTTGGGCTATACCCCTTTCTTTAATGTTCTTAATGCATTGGTTTTGATACTTTGTTTGCTAGCAAGGCGCGTGCAATGGGTTGTTGTGCAATGGGTTGTTATTCATGGGAGGTTCTTGTTGGTTGATATACTATATGATATCTAACGGTGCTTCTCTATTCTAGTGCTACTATGGTACAATCCGGGGCAGCGGGAACGGATGAAAGGAGATGACGTCTGCCAATGAAAGTTTATAGCAGTAATGGCTGGCTGTTCTATGATTCTTTTTCTATTTTTTTTTTTTTTTTTTTTTTTTTTTTTTTTTTTTTTTTTTT